TCTGCAGTATAAATCCTCTTTTTTTTAATTTTAATTCTTATTTTTTTCCTGTATGTATTTTGGTGTCTTATGAAACTTTTCTTTTGGATATATCCCTGTTGAAAAGATTTTCATTCCCTATGAGAAATTGTTTCCAAACTTGTCTATGTGACAAGATTTTAATCTAACTTTCTAGATTTCCACCACTACTCTCACCAATAGTCTTTGAGGTATTTATCATACCTCCCTATCCAAATGAGTGGGTCATGGGAAAATAATTATGCATACATTTATTTAAGTATATTACACAATTTTCTTTTAATTCCCCGTTCATTTGTTAGCTTGGAGAATAATAAAATGAAATTAAGCTAAAAAATCTGTGCAGGGTATTCATTCTGCAAAGCTTTCATTTTCCCCAGTGAGAGACACATTTGTCTTCTGTCTGCAAATCTGGAAAATTTATTTAAATGTATGCTTCCTTTTTCCTCTACATAGAATTAATCTAGTCAAGAATTAGGCACTGAAAGAAAAAGTAAAAATCAGATTTGATGGAAGAGTCACAGTTGAGAGCTTGTTGAAAATCTCTTTTTTTTTTTTTCTTAGGAAGAATTTGTCATAGTAACTTTTACTTCTATTTGATCTGAATTTACTATTGTAAGGTGCAGTATGTAGATTAAGCCTTTGAAGCATCTGCCTTTGGTTATCTGAAGAGCCATACATGAATTTAGGATGAGTTAATTCTGGTTAGTAAATTCTGCATTCGTAAGTGAAATTTCTGCATTCTTAGACGTGAAGATGCATGGTTACTGCAGAGACCAGTTTACACGCCTTTCCCCTGCATCTTCCTTTCCCTTTTTGATAGGGGGCTCAAATGACAAACTACTTACTTTGAGAAGAGACTCACCTGCTCAGTAGGAATAAATTGTTCAGTGCACATACACAACAGAATAGTACGCTCCCACTGAGTGTTGCTTCAGGCTTTAAACTTCCAATGTTTATAAAGATGTTCTTTGAAAATTGATTGTGGGAATTGGGTGCGTGTTTATTTTCCCTGTCACTAAGCCAGGGGCTGTAGTGGAGGGTGTCCCATTGTAATCTCATTTTCTCTTAGAAGTCCTATCTCAAGCTCTGTTTTGTTGGTACTTGTTCCTGAGAGTCCTTTACTTCAACACCTTGTCTCACCTGAAAGCCTCTTTCTGCTGCGCAGTTCTATGCTGTCTGGAGGCTGTTGTCAAGGTGTGTTTCTTGCAATGTCTGTATTCCTTGCTCCTTCCTTCAACTGTGCTTATTACTTATTATTCTCACTAAAGCAAATCCTTTGTTGTGATGAAAATTTGAAGTTTTACCCAGGCTGCTCTTTGAATATACAAAAAGGTTTCTATTTGGAGGGAGGAGGAAGTAAATAGTACAGCTCTTAAAGTTAATATGTTCTTACCAGTTTCCTCTAAAAGATGGAATGAGAGAGACAAGAGACATAGTTAATATTTCCCCCAAAAGAAAAGCAGACACTTCTTTTTTTGTTTGACACCAAAGCATTCAACAACATGGAGCACTCCCAAGAACCTGGCTTATGCAATTTGACGGCTTACCAGGCTTTCTATTTGTTCACCTTGGTTCTTGGATGCCGACTTTACATTTATGTTCTACTAATTTTTTTTCCCTCTCTCTCCCCCACCTTCCCCAGCAAATAACCTCTCTCAACATTTCAAGGGCAGATGTGCAGAATGAGAAGAGATGGGAGGCTCAAAGGCAGCATTTGATAGAATATTTAGTTTTGGTGATCTCTAAATTCCTTAGTTCCATCTATTTCTCAAGATCTCTTAACTGAAACTTCCCTTTGTGAGTATTTATCTTCAGCTTTGATATCTTTTCTAAAAGAATTCAGGTGTCAGTTAAGATTGCTACTTGAAATTCCATGAGTATCTACATTGTTCTGAAAGATCTTTATAATTAATGTTGGAAACAACATATCTGCTGCTGATTGTGGTTTAATAAGACTTTTTTCTAGAAATGAGTTAACAAAAGACTGATGAATAGATACCTAAAAAGGGGCTGTTTATAACACATCTATCAATGTATCTTTTCATTTCCCCTCCTCCCTGTTAAATTCTCTTTGTAAATCAAATTGTTTGAAAGTACGTGTATGAACATCTAAGGCATATGAAGGAAAGTATGTTGCTCAAGCTCTCAAAGCTATTTTCACATTTGAGCAAATGTTATCATTCCACTCTGAGTGTGTACTATATTTGAAGTGTGTGTGTGTATGTGTATATATATATATATACACACACATACAATCAACTAACATGATTCCTGCTGGGAGATGCTCTTGATGACTTTTGGAAAAACAACATTTGCTCATGTTCTCATTTTTTTTTTTACTAGGTAAATGTAAAGTAGTGAAGAGTTAACCTTATAAAGACTAGTCTCTTGTTACTGTGTAGTAGATAACAGGTGCAGAATCTCTGTTGAAGCCTCTTAAAGCAAAAATTGAGTGTGAGAGGGAGTTTTATGTTATAGCTGATTTTTTTTTTTTTTTTAAAGAGGGTACTTATAATATTTTTTTATTCAGCTACTTAGATCCTTCCTTTAAGATGGGGAACTAGTTATATCAAGGCAGTGTATAATTCTGTGTTATGGTCACAGAAATTGGGGATCAATCCAGGGTGCTTTGTCCCAACTTACATGTGACTGCTTTTTTTTAATTTTCTTCCTAATACTGAGGAATTGCTATTATAGATAAGGGAGCTCTCACCACTGGAGAACAGTAGGGTGAGAAAAGGCAACCATTAGATGCATGGCACTGTTTTGAGTTTTGAGCAACCGGGATGCAAGTCTGCTTTTGTGAATTTTTTTTAATATAAAGGTGTCTGCTGCCTTCCAAGAACACTAAAGTATGCTTTGGCAGCTTTGATGGTAGAATTTGTGAAACCTTTGTTAAATGTAATATTCGTTTGAAAATATCCTGCACAAAGCCTGGAAGTCATTCTTGTGAAGCTTAAATGATATTCTCAACAGCTTCTCTTTGATGATAATGTTTAAATAGAAATTTTAATTTTAAATTTGATCATCTAAGGTAGGCTGAATTCTGAAAGGGTTACATAGGAAACAGTTTATTAACATGGAGATATATGAGAAATGCCTTATGCATTGGTAGCTAGTCTCCTCAAGATGTAGGACATACTTAGTCCCTGTCTTCCTCAGACTATTTCCATGTTGGTTTGGTGACTTTATCCAACGTGTGATCACTAACAGCACTTTGTCTGTTGAAAACATAGAGATAGTATTGCTTCAGAATCTGAAAGCACAGTTTAAATGTCACTTTTCTTCCTTCCCATGGTTTCACAGAGGATTCATGTTTTGGAAGCGAGAAGCTTGGTTAGAGCATGAAAAAAAAATGAAGTCTCTTGACATTCACTGCTGTAGTTAAAATGTACCATACAAGATGATTTGATTGTTGAAAAGTCAGCTCTGCTTGAGGGAAAGTACAGCCAGAAAGTATTTTCTTGGAATGGAATTGTCTATGAAACATTCAAATTAGAAAGTAGGTGTTGAGAAATGCTGTTGTTCTCTTGCTTTGCCGTATTTCATAATAACTTTCATTATAAAGCAGTGAGGAGAGTTGAGGGTAAATTCTTGTGTGGGAGGGGGCATATAGGCTTTCTGATTATCTTGACATATGCTGCTATGCAACATGCAGAGTATTGCAGTACACTGTATTTTTTTTCTAATACTTTTGTTGAGGAGCTTGACAGAAAAGTTTTTAGTAGGCCTATGTATGTGTGTGTCTGAATATGCAAACATAACTCTGCAAGAGTCTGACAACATACTGTTCAAAAAAAAAAAGAACAGTGTAGGTTTTTCACTGCTAAGGTAATGCTAACAAAATGAGTGTATTTAATTGTGTGTTGGAAGAGGTGAAAAAAATCATTTACCTTGTGAAGGACTTCATAATTTTCTTCAGTGATGTCCCCTTTTGTGCTGAGCCTGAGCTTGCATACGCTCGTCTCTGCAGACTTGAAGCTAGCCTAGGAAGTGTCTGCAAAGGGCTGCTGCACACACGCTCAAATGCACGAGAACTCTGCAGTGTGTGAATGTGCTGAGTGCATTCTTACATAAAGGATCTGTTTTGTTCAATTCTATCTTAAATGAAAGGGTTGAAGGACGTGGTTATACAATAAATTCTCATCACCTCATAAATGACATTGTGAGACAGGACAGTGGGGATGGTAGGATTTACGGAGCTTTCCTTGAGCACCATTGTTCCTTTTCAACCCAAACTACTGTAGTTCTCTCTGTGGGCTGTTGATAGCCAACAATATCTCCACTGGGAAAACCATGCAAATACAGTATTCTTCAAGTTCTAAGATAAACTTCCCGATAGAAGTATGTTGTGGAGCCAGCTTGGTGCTAGCATTTACAGCACTTAGTGCCAGAGTGCAGTAAGTCAGAACTGGGGCGTGTAAGTGACTGCTGGGAGTGCACACAAGTGTTGTCAAGAGCTTCCTTAGCAATGCATTTTTGGTTTAAAAAAAAAAGTTGTATTCATTTCAAGAACACTGACATCTGCCTATAGAAGCACTCTAAAACTTACAGTTGTTGGGTTTATGTATAAGGGCAGAAAACTTTCTGTGAAGGAGAGATGAAACAAAACGATCACGAGTTAATTGCTTTCATTGTATTTGGATATTATGCATATCTAGTTTATACATGAGACTTTTCTCAGTCTTTAAGTAATAGTTAATGTTTAATCCAGGCCCAGAACTTTCCTTTGAGTTGACTGTGATGCTAAGGATTTGGATAGATAACTTATTTCCATCTTTCAAATAAAAGAATATTAGTTTATCCATTCTGCCCGCTTGCGCTCAATAGTTAGCTGTTTAAAATCTCTTATTCTAATACTCTGGTGGTTTTTTTTGTTGTTGTTTTTGAGTTTTTGCTATTTATCCAAGTCTATTTTGCTCAATACTTAGGGTTTTATTTATTTATTTATTTATTGTCTTTTTTCTCTCTCTTGTCAGCAGCCATGCAGCAGGTATTGGATAACCTTACTGATCTGCCGACGTCGACAGGCGCTGAAGAAATAGACCTAATTTTTCTCAAAGGAATCATGGAAAACCCCATTGTAAGATCACTTGCTAAGGTATTTCAACTTCCTGCTCTGAGTAGAATCTGAAAATGTTGTAACTGGTACATGAACACTGAGTATGGATTGAGGTGTGCCTTTAATGTATGGTATGTCTTGTTAGAAGGCTTAAAAGTGTTCTTGAAAATAGAGCATATTTGGTATAATTTCTGTGTACAACGATTTATTGATACATGGGAGATCTAGAGGGAAGAGTAAAACTCAGAGACTTTGGTAGTAGTGTGTTAATGATATTTATGAAGATAATGTCAAAATACTTGAAATCAGAGGTACTTGGTTTTAGTAGCCTTGTGACACCTGTTGTGTGCAAAACCCATATCTCTTGTTTTCGAGCATTTTTTCCAAAGATGAAAAGTGAGAGCAATAATCTTCTTTCCTCCATGGCATAAACAAGTTGTCTTTTTGGCTTGGAATTACTTTCTGATCAACCCAATGAAATATGCTCTCCAAGCGCTTTCCTAGATCTCAGAGTAATGGTTGGGCCTTTGATTGGCAGCAGTCAGACACGGGCTAGCCTTAGCTTTGGTCTTACATTATGTGACTACTTTATTCATATATGGTAGTATTCATTTATAAGTATCTAAAGTGATGTTGACAAAAACTCTTTAGACTCTCAAGTTAAAATGTAGCTTATTTTATCATAAGAAAATGCAGTCAATATCATACAGCACATGCATTCTTTCTTATTCTTCATAAAAATATGTTCCTTACACGAGAAAAAAGAGTTAACTGAAATATAGCTGTCTCTTTAATATGAATAAACATCTGAAGCAATGCCCTGTGGGCAGCCAGGAAGTATTCTGTACAGCTAAAGGATCATTGTGTACAGATTTTGCTCTATAAAAATCTGGAAAGGAAAGCATAAGAGTTTGTGTAAGAATTCACTTTTGTTTAACTGTGTTAGTTACAAACAGAACACAATTCAGAAGAGAGAAGCAGCAATATGTGTATTGACGTAAAATAAAATGGGGATTTAACAAGGTTTGAGATTTCAAGGTACACTTGATTATTTACTTCATAGAAAATAAGATTAAATACACTTGTCCAAGAGACCCTTCCATTGGGTCACAAGGTTCAGAGTGGATCCCCTAGTTTTCTAAACTCCTTGAACAGCAGAGATAAGGAATCTAGGTGTGGCTGAATTCACTCCTAGCCCCAGATTTGGTCAGTGGTTTACGTGTGCACAATCAATCTATGATATAATTTTAGCACGCTTATAAAGCTTAGCAAACTATTATTCACCTACTGAGGGTTTGTAGCAGCAAGGAATTTCTCGATGTTGAAGTGTGAGGGGTCTCTGCACCAGCGGTACCCTCAAGAACTGTCCCTACTTGTGGGCAGATCTGTTATGCAGCCAGCTGCCGTGCAGGAGAGCTCAACAGACTCTTGGGCTGCTCATTATTTATGAAGTAAGATGACTGATTCACTCACATTTGCATACCAACTACAGATGTTAGTTTCTTTCAAATTTGTCTTGAGTCAAACATAGACTAGCACAGTTGTTAGGTGGGCAGATAGCTCAAATTAGCCCTTGGCTATTGTGTTTTATTTCCCATCAGTCTGTTCTCAGTCGGATGCAGCCTTTGTAACCAGTTTCACCCATCATGATTGCCACTGGTGGTTATCTGCTGAAATCAGATGCAGCCATCACAACCATCCACGGTGTTTATCACTCAAGCAGTGGCAGGACAAATAAAAGTCAATAAAAGACAGGTTAGGAAGAGCACGCCACCACACTGTTCAAAAACATTGGTTACAAGTTAAAGAAGTTGCATAAGAATAAAAATTTAAACAGTGGAAGTGTCTCGTCTGTTGGTGAGAGAACTGCAGAGGGGAAAATTTGTGTGCTAAATTTACTGAAATTAAGTTAAAGCAGTTTGTTGATTAGAGTTGTTTCTAGCTGCAGAATCTGTTACATACTTCATCTATAATATTTATCATGAAGAAGATGTTCATTGCAAAGAATTTGTAGTTTTCCAATAATTCCCAAGAATGTGTAGTCTTCCAACTATAATGTAACATTTAATTAGCAGGAGTTAACAAGCAGATTTTAAAAAAAAAAAGTGTTTGTAATGGAAACAGACATGATCTTAACTATAAACTTGCTTTCTCAAGAATGCTGGAAATTTTTAACTGAGTCCATATGGCATGACCACACTCAGATTTTTTTTTTCTGATTCCGCATTGAACCCCAAACTTCCATCCCAGACAATAGATCTAAATGAGGACAGGGTCAAAATAATAACACACTTCATGAATGACACGCATGGAATTTGTACCAATACATTTGCCTCTAAAAGTATATCAAGTTTGTTTTTCTATTAGAAGAGTTAGTTTTATCAGAATTGTGAATTCTCAGGGAACTCTGAGATTGTCAGACTATTTGTGCGCATTAATTTCAGACCGGCCAGAAATGTAAGAAGCCTTTTCCTGTATTAGAATCACAGTCATAGAATGGTGTGGGTTATAAGGAACTTCAAAGACCAACTAGTTCCAACTTCCCTGCTGTGGCAGACACACCTTCCACTAGACCAGGTTGCCCAGAGACCCCTCCAGTCTCTTCAAACTGTTTCAGTTTGCCTCTTACCCTATCAGTGAGCAGCAGTGGAAAGAGCCTGATTGCACTTTTTTGTACTCTCAGGTATTTGTAAACATGGACCAGGCTGAGCCCCTTAAGACTTTTCTTCTCCAGCCTTAATGTTCCCAGCTCTCTGTTATTTTAGTGGCCTTTCACTGAGCTCTCTCCAATAACTCCTCCTCTCTGTTATTCTGGGCAGCTCAGAACTGGACATGGGTCTCCAGTTGTGGCCTTGACAACACTGAGTTGAGGGGAGTCTGCTGGCAATGCTCTGACTAATGAAGCCCAGCATAGCTAGCCTCCTTTTCTGCAGATTGTTTTTCAGAATTCCTTTAAATCATCAGACTTTCTTTCCAAATTTGCCATTCAAATGGATTTGACTAGGAGAAGCCTCAGATAAACTTTTCTCAAATGCAGACTGTATTTTTCCAAGCCAATTGCTTAGTTCCGTTTTTGTTCTTCTAGAAGGTCTGCTTGTCCTGGGTTCTGAAGCAGAAAAGGTCTGAGGCTTGATACTGTTCAGAGAGGCCTGTTTGATGAATGTAGCATGGAGGCCATAGGAAATACGGACATGCAAGCATATCTGACAGGTGCTGCTTTTAAGGTTTGTCATGTCACATTGTTAAGGACACAGAATCCTTCAGCAGTTATAAAGACAAAATGTACAGACTAGACTATATGTAATTGTTCCTGTTTTCCCACTGAAGGATGCACCAAGAAATTAATTAAAAAGTTTAAAATTGAAACTTAATTACGTTATAGTCGTTATGTAATTATTATATCTTACAGGCTCATGAGAGACTAGAAGATTCTAAACTTGAGGCTGTCAGTGACAATAACCTGGAGCTGGTGAATGAAATTCTTGAAGACATCAGTCCCTTAATAAATAAAGATGAAAACATTGCGGAATTGGTTGGAATACTCAAGGAACCTCATTTTCAGGTGCCTCCTTTTTACTCCTTTTCACTTTATACAACCCACAGCATTACTGTGCACATATGGATCTTAGTATAATAATGAAACAAAAACTGAACTATAGGCCAACTTTAATGTAGGATTTTACTCTGGATGCAGGGTAAAGAAGTAGTCACATGGAGTTAAGAATGAATATGACTTTAGTCATTAACACTTCAAGTACAATTTCATTCGTGGTGTTGTCTCTATTATAAGTCTCCATGTATACTGGAGGTTACTCTAGTGCTTTATTCTTAGCTTGTCCAGGTGGTCTCAGTTCCTGATACATTCTGCAGTTCAGTTCAGCTTTTTGCATTCATACTCATGTCAGATGTACAGTTTGCAAAGTGAATCAACTTGATTCTCTTATGCCATGTGATCTACACTGAGCTTGAATTGCAACCTTACATCCTTCTCTCTTAACATGATGTTCTACTAAACATAAATGGAATTTTGACATATTTTTGTTTTCCCATTTCTGCTACTCTATTACCAGTTTCCATATTGGCCCTTAAAGATTAGGATTTGTAAATCCTCATTGATTCTGGACTTCCTGCCGGCTTCAACTTGTTTTGGTACTTTGCAGTAGGTCTCCTAAATAAAAAAAAATAGCAAACTTTCTGCCACAGCATAAACACATCCTTTCGTAGACAGGTATAGAGCCATATAAGCATTTTTTGTTATATATGTTAAATCATGTTTGGTTGGTTTTTGTTTTCTAAATTTTCGGTTGTACGCTATACAAACGTAATGGTGTGCATTACTGCTTAACATGGATAGACACTGGAAAGGCTGACAAACTGTGCCGTGGCCTGGTGGAACTAGGGAACACTTTATTACCTCAGCTTTCAGTGTTCTAACTGTTGGTGAATGCTGTTTTGAAGAGCAGTTTGATGGCCTTCCTTGTATTCTTATTTGTGCGTCATTACTAAGGGACCAAAGGCTTTGATTTAGAAACTTAGTGGTGAGTGACCCTTAACATCAATCTTCGATCTAGCAAAAATTGGGACTGGAAAAGGAGAGGATGAGTTTGGAGAAATTGGTAATTACAATGCAAAAATATTTCAGTCATTCTGTTGTGTTTTCATTTAGAAAGTTCTAATTTATTTCATATCATTGTCAGACTTACAGTTACACTGTTTGATTCTTTTTTGGAATCTATTTTAAAAATGCATGTCATATTTATTGCATGCTTTGAAGAAGATTGCGTGTTCCTTCTTACACTGTTCCATTGGGTGAGTCATGAGCATGTACGAGAAATAAGCTATTTCTAGGGCTCCCTGCTTCATTTGCTGCAAAAACTGGATGGTACGCAAAGGATCAGGTGGGAAGCTAAAAGAAAATACTACTTAATGGATAAGGTAGTTAAATGGTGCCTTTTGAGAAGTAAATTATCACTCACTTTGTCAGAGTTCAGGAGTTCAGAATTACTGAGTTAGCTTAAAAAAGAAAAGTGTAAAGCAGCTTCAGTTTTTGTGCTTTTGTTTCCATCTGGAGGCAGGCAGAAAAACAAAAATCCCTGAGGACAAAGTTGCATTATTTCAAGTAAGTTTTTTTATTTAAGATCTCTCTCTCTCTCTCTGAAAGTTAGCACTTTCTTTCAGAGTACTTAGTTGTCCTTTCTACCTCATTTTTTCCAGGGAGACATATTCCAAATTGTTCAAGGAAGAGAAAAGCAAAAAAATTCAGTGTGATTTGTAATAGCAGAAATTGTAATTTTCATTCGGTATCCAATTTGGTGAAGTTGTGCAACAAGCCACTGGGAAGAACAGAACTCTTAAAGTTTCATAGATTCTATTGTGTAACTGCTTTAGAAACCGGTTATCTATGCTTTGCAAGTGAGTGGTACTGCTTTACCACAGTATCATCTTACACTTGTAACCTAGCTTGGCATACAAGTGTCAAATGTGATATACAGGTATTTGGTGCAACAGCATATTAAGATGCATGATGCTGAAAGTACTGAACTATGGAATTGCACTTTTTTTTTTTTACACTTTCACAGAAGATAAATTGGGCAGGGAGTGGCTTATGGAGTATACGTGCACTTATGATTATACTATTATGTTTGACTATCTGTTCCCTTTCTTTTCTTTTTTCTCATTTCATCCTGATTTTTCCTCCCTTCTACTTTTTAGACCCTTTTATTAGTTTTAATTACATTTTTTCAGGGGTCAGAGTGTGGAAAATATTAAACTCTTACGAGTTCCCCAGTATAGATGGTTTGCTATCAGGGCAGTATGCATGAAAAAGCTGCATAGGTAAAGTTATAGCAAGTGTTGACAGTAGTGTGGTGAGAGAGTTTGCCTCGAGGAAAGAGCGAGGAGTTGGAAGCATTGCGCAGTTGGAGAGGTTAAACATGCAGAAAAATCACTTCTGCTGTTTATGGAAGAGCTCATTCAGTTACTTTCACCTTTCTCAGAGTTATGCAAACTGCTTTTAATAGTAAATTCTGTTGGCAATAAATACTTCATCTTAAAACCTCTCCCCCAAGCCAGTTTGAAATGAACCTGTTCTATTGGAACATAGCTGGGCGGATAGTTGTCATGCAGGTCAGGCAGTGCTTCATAACCTGCATAAATCATGCTGGGAAGTTTCTTATTGTGGATTTCTTATTTTATTTTATTTTATTTTTATTTTTATTTTTATTTTATTGCTTATTTTGCTTGAAAAACAAAGATTTAAATTTGGCTTCAGCGCTGAAGAGAGCCTTGAATGCTTAATGTTACTTTGTTTACAGAATTTAGAACTGTGCTTTTGTTTTTTACCTGGCAAATAAGTACAGCCACAGAAAACGAAAGAATATGTTCTAAGTTAATGGGTTACTTTTTGACAGGATCTTGCAGAAAGGAGTCATACTGTCTGCCACAGTACTGTTTCCAGTGTTCTGTGTCTCTTGTGAAGTGCTGAGAATTCTTCTAAATGCCTGATTCAGGCACCATTGCTATTGTTTCCATGAGAACCTTTCCACAGTTACCCAGTGTTGGCTAGTTACTGATGCTGTTTATTTATAATATACTTAGGAAAATTTGAATCACTTATGGATGCAGACTGCTCAGTGCATGTTGTTTTGCAGACTTTGCCTGTGGTATTATAAATGTTCTATCACCAGTATGGGAAAGGTCAGATTTCAGGGGAGCATTGGAGTTGCAGGAGCAGAAGATATCACTTTTTCAGATACCATGGGAAGGGAAAGTCAAATCCATGTAATTATGTTTCTTCAGTCACTCAACTATATTACTAAAATAAGAAAGTAACTGTGATCAACATAAAATGTTGAAGAGCGATCCAACAATATTTACTTGGCCTCTCTTGTCAGATCACTTTCTTTTAAGTGTTCCTCAGGACAATACACCATGACCCATCTTAATGGAAAAAATCCTTTAAACCTGATGTAGAATCATAGAATCATTGAGGTTGGAAAAGACCTCTGAGATCATCTGGTCCAACTGTCCTATCACCTATATTTCCTCATGAAGCCATGTCCCTTAGCACAAGATCTAAATGTTTCTTGAACACCTCCAGGGACGATGACTCCATCACGTCCTTGGGCAACCCGTTCCAGTGCCTGACTACTCTTTTGCAGTAGAACTTTTTCCTGACATCCAGCCTGAGTCTTCCCTGGCACAACTCGAGGCCATTCCCTCTAGTCCTGTCGCTAGTTATGTGGCAGAAGATGCCAACACCCACCTCCATGACCTCCTTTCAGGCAGCTGTAGAGAGCCATAAGGTCTCCCCTGAGCTTCCTCTTCGCCAGACTATCTATTCTTGTGTTCTGGAAGTGAGAGTTAATTATGGGAATATAGTAAATGAACTATATGGGGTTGTTTTTTCGTTTTGTTTTGAAAACTGATACATTTCTTGTCTCAAATCATTTTGTAATTATGGGCAGCAATTTACAGTCCTTGATAGTCCTTCTGTGACTCAGCTATCATGGAAATAGCAGGGAAGAGATTTTGTGATTGACAGATGGTTAAGTAGCAGTTGAAAGAACTCATGCCTGTCCGTGAAATGGAATGAATAAATAGGATGAGAATGTGAACGATGAGATGAGTTTTTAAGAACTGAAGAGTATTATGGAGCATGTTAATTGGAAAAGAATGGCACTGTTTGTCTAGTAGTCATTTTTTGGCTGTGGATCCAATTGTAATCCATAAATTAGATAACTGTTAAAGGCAGTGAGCTGTACAGAATGCTTGTGTGTGAGCTTTGTGAGAAACTGAGTGGTTTGTGGACAGAAACTTTGACAGCAATTGTTTCCTGGCATGTGACCAAAAGAGAAAACTAGAGTTATCACACAGGTCCATCTACTTTGTTTTGTCTGTGGTAATGTGTCAAAAGACATAGCTGAGACTAGTTGGTTTCATTTTGGAAATGTAAAAAGGGTAAAACATGTTGCTCACACATGTGGGCAAACAGAGATCTGTTCTCCTGGTTTTTGGATTGGATGCATCTTGGATGATGAAGAATTAGAAATTGATGCCATCTGTCAGCTGCTTGATTTAAATAAATAATGTGTTTTCCGTTTCATTTGATTTGGTTTATGTCCACAATATCGGAGCAGCCACTAGCCCTCATGGTCTTAAAAGCAGGGGCAAAATTAGTAGCGGAATTAGTTGCTCCTCTAATCTTAAGTTAAGACCTCAGCAGGGCCATTTTGCAGTGGGCATTGTAAAATGGCTGATTGCAGATGGCACTTTGAGGATTTTCACATTGAGCTTAGCACTGCGTTAATGTGGTTGCACAGATTTTAAGTTAGAAGTTACTTACAGAAGAATGGAACAGGCTGCATAGCAAAATTGTTAAATTAAAAGGCCTGTTTGCTGATTTCCTCTGGCATGTGTGTCACTACCACTGATGTTCCCTATGATGTCCTGTTCTCTGTGACTTCTCTTTATCTACTTATTTGACACCAGTCAGTAATGTAACTTACGACCGTATCTCATCAGGTCATGTTTGAAACAAAGCTGTTTATGTTGCTTACGATAAGATTGGCCTAACAGCCATCTCTCCTGCTTACTTGTTTTACTTCTGCTATATGTGTCAGAGACACTGTGCATCACTGGACACTTTTTATTGGACATCCATAAACTATGTGGTGGTTGTAGTGTGTTCCTTTTCTTCTTTAACATAGAAAGCCTCTTCTGTCCAATACACAAGTTTTATCTTGCTTTACCTGTTCATATTGTCTTAGAAATATTTTAAGTCTTAAAGCACTTTTTAAATAAGAAAATAAAATATAAAGTTCATAATCTTCCAAAGATTATTGTATTTGTTTGGATCTCCTCCTTTTCATCTGTACTTACATATGTGAACTGGTGAAAGCACCATAAATTACAAGATCTAAGCTCTTGCATTCCAAAAGTGAATTCTGTCAACTTGAATTAATTTCCTGTTAGAATTCTGCAAGCAGAAAGTACTCATTCTGCAGATTGCTAGAAATTCTTACATACCTGCAATTATCTTTAATTTACCCTTACTTCCAAATTAATGTGGAGGGAATCTTTTTTACATTAAACACAAGTATCTAATAATGAGCTATGTTCATCTTTTTGCAGCTGCTTGTTTGTTTACTTTAACTGTTTGCTTGGATACTGTTTCATTAGGTGAAGCTCTGTTGTAGTTACTCCTTCTTCCATCTTCTTCCCAGTAATTTTTCATTTGCCTCCCAGAAAAATTATATTTCTTCTGTTTCCTTAAGAAGAATCACTTGTATTTACATAAGAGAACATATTTGCCAAGCCAGTAGGGTTAGCAGGACATGAGTGCTTCTGTTTCGTACAAATATAAGAATTGATTTTTGGTGTATACCATATGAAATATGTTTTCAAATCAGATTCTAAAATGGCAGTGGTTGTTCAGCACAAGTCTGTCTTAAAAATAATTATTTCATTGTTTTAAAAACAGCTTTTTCTGTTCCCTCGTAGTCACTCTTGGAAGCGCATGATATTGTGGCTTCAAAATGTTATGATTCCCCTCCTTCTAGTCCAGAAGTCAATAATTCTTCAGTGAACAACCAGATAGTTCCAGTAGATGCTATTCGTATTCTTGGAATTCACAAAAGAGCAGGAGAACCTCTGGTAAGCGATTGAAGATGAATAAGTCTTTAATTTAAAGTGTAAGTGAAAGCATTTTCATGTGCCTAATTTCTTGCATTGAGTTTTAATTCTTAGATTTATTATACTGTGTAATTTAATGGGTCATGATTGAGCGGTAGGAATAGAGAGATTTGTGTGTTCTCTACCCTGTTCTCCCTAGGAATTTATGGCCTAACAGGCAGGCAGTCACTAGGCAGATTTACCTGCTAGCATAACTGACGAACGCAACATCTGTTTGGTCTTCATACAGAATGACGGGACTGCATGCAATCAAGAACAATGAAAACCTTGTCTGAAAGTATTCTGTCACTTGATACTTGTATTATTGTCTGATTTCACTAGGGGAGACAGTGTCACATAGATGTATATTTTTTGCTTGAGATGATGGTAAAATGCAATTGAAATTCAGACAGTGGTAGACTAGGTGTCTCATACTTCTTTCAGGGTGTTACATTTCGAGTTGAGAACAACGATCTGGTTATAGCACGAATTCTTCATGGTGGAATGATAGATCGACAAGGTCTTCTGCATGTAGGTGACATTATTAAAGAGGTGAATGGCCACGAGGTTGGAAACAATCCAAAAGAATTGCAGGAACTGCTGAAAAGTATTAGTGGCAGTGTCACTCTGAAGATTCTCCCCAGCTACAGAGACACGGTTATTCCTCAACAGGTCAGTAGCTCTTTTCTAACATTTCTGTCAAAAGATTTTCTACTTGGTACTTGAGCAAGTAAGATTAGGAGCAGACATGTTTTGAGATTTTTTGTGTGTATTTAATGCTAGCAAAATGGGTAATACTTGTATTTGCTTTAAAGTACATATTAGAAATGAGATTATTCAGTGTATTAAGATGACATGTCTGCTTAAAAAATTATTAGTATCTTAGACTGATAAGCATTTGTATTCATGCAAATCTGTTTCTTTCACCTCTGATGACCTAGCCACAATCACAATGAACTGCAATAAAGTGCCTGTGTTTTTAAATGATCCATGTCCAGGTAATGTTTCATGGAATTTAGATATACATATTGCATTCAGCAGATGAGCTTGAATTTGTTGACTTTAGGATGGAACTTGTGTAGTGCTTATTCCATATCCTTCTGCTGTTGCTGTAGATTGTCAGTTTATCCAATGCAGAAGTGATTTGTTGCTCTAAATGAGAGCATTTGAAACATCCTGCAAGACTCCTTCAGGTGCTGGATGTTAATGCCTGTGAATATAATAGGTTATGCTTACATTCAGCATATTTTGTTTGTCTTAAAACATTGAGTTAATAGCAAACAAAATTCTTAGGATCAAATAAAGCTTGAGAACAGTGTTTGAGCTCTGAGAAATGTTTGTGTTTCTAAGTAAGTCAAAGTTAGATTACTAATTAAGTTGCATATACTGAAGTGAAAACACGAATACATTGGCCAGTCGAGCAGCTGCCTTTTTATTTTTGTCTTGAAGCTCCCTCAGCTAAGGTTTGCACTGTAGATTATTTCTGCTGTCTCAGCTGGTGTGCTCTCTGTCAGTTTATTTTCCATAACTTGCCTCTTACTTGCGAAATGCAAATTCCATCATATCAAACTTGTTATGCTGTAGGTAAAGACACTACTTCAACTTGACAGATGAGTTCCTAAGGATGTATTTTGTAATATTTAAGCACTGTAAATTTTTCTGCATTTCAGGTTTTTGTGAAATGTCATTTTGACTATAATCCATATAATGATAACCTCATCCCATGCAAAGAAGCTGGGTTGAAATTTTCTAAAGGAGAAATTCTTCAAATTGTAAACCGGGAAGATCCAAATTGGTGGCAGGTTGGTAAATAAATTAATATTGGAAAAAAAAAGTTTCATTAATTTCCTTTATAATAAGCTCTTTAATTTAAACTACTTAACAGTAGATAGAAGAAAAATATTTACATTGTAATCCAGCTTCAAGCTCTTAGTATTGAAAATATAAGCAGTTGCAGTTGTAGTGCATATAAATATATATATAATAGTGGTATAAATTGCTTATGTGACACTGTGTTTTTACTGTTACTGCTGTTTTTATGAATGCACACATGTTCATAACTGAAGTGCTCAGCACTGTTTCAAATATAAACAGCTGCTCATGTGAGGGAATGCAGAAAATTTATTACTCCAAGCTAATTAACTTCAGAATTTAAACAATCTCAAACTTCAGAGTAGTTTGACATTTAGCTTACGTGCTGTCTTTGAAATAAATTTTTCAGAATTCTTCAGCTTGTAACTTGTGGGTGTCCAGGAGAAATAAATCTAGTGTGCTTATAAACACCCTTGATGAGTGGCAAAAATGAAATATATTAAACAAATATATGAGTATTGTTGCAGGTTATGCTACTGGGAAAGAAAGTTAGATTTTACCTTGGCCATTCTGTAAATGGTAGACTGTTACTGGGAATTCATGAACTGTGAAAAATCAGTGTATCACTAATAGGTAAAAGCATACACCTTGAAAAGCAAGCAGGTCTTGTTAGCAAGTGACAGGCCAGCTAGTGATGGGAAAGTGTAACATCTCATAACTGTGTGTTTGTATGTGTTAAGCTTGCTGAGAATTGGGCCTGCCATTAAATGATTTTTTAGAAATTCTTAGCCAAGCTTTCGTTACCAAGAATAGTTATGTTACTCAGATTTAAATCTCTAGTTATGTAGTACAGAAGCTAGAAGGCATTGATGAGATCTGTGCATAACGTTCCCAGTTTGTAAAATGACAGTTATTAAACTACGCTGGAATCTGTTTGAAGTTGCTCAAGAATACAAAATAAAGGGAGAGCTGTAGCTGTTGAATTCCATTTGGGATTTTTATGCTGAAAGTTTGTGGCTGGCTGCAGGAGGCTGACAGAATGGGTACCAGTTACTGCAGAGCCTTCACCACTGAGAAATTTGGTCAGGGTAAAAGTCAGTCATCGAGATGTCATGAGAAAAATGCTTCTTATATGTTACCTCTGATATATATATATTTTTTTAAATTTCCAGGCTAGCCATGTCAAAGAAGGAGGAAGTGCAGGGCTCATTCCTAGCCAGTTCCTCGAAGAGAAGAGAAAGGCTTTTGTTAGAAGGGACTGGGACAACTCAGGTGAGGTTTAGGAGGTTTCAGGGTTATGTTTTGCTCTGACGCGGTTTGTTTTGCTGTTACTATTTTCTCAGATACTTGAAAATTGTTGTATGGGAGTACTGCTAAATGCTTATGACTGTGTGTGTATGGTTTTGGTTTTGAGTGAAGGGCAGAGGCTAAAGTATGTGCTTAGTCTTCATAGATACATGAATCAGTTTTACTACCTGCCGATGAAAAGATAAGTGAGGTGGGAAGGCTGTAAGGATTACTCTCTTTTATTCAAGATGTTTTTATAATATGCATTGAAAGTTAATAGATGTTTTTGAAAGATTTTTCTAGGATTTTTTCAACTTTCTTGGAAAACTTTTTTCTTCTGCGTTCTATTCTTACTCTGTATTGTATATGAAAGTAGATGTAATGTCCTTCCCTAGAATAGATGATTTTGGAAAAAAGGTAATAATTTATTGAAAATAGTCTTTTTAAGTGCAATTAATGTAAACTTACACATGTTCATGGAAATCAGATGTATAAATTCTTTCAGAAAAAATGTTGAGCAAAAATGCTGATTTTGTCTCAATTTTTATTTGTAGGGCCTTTCTGCGGAACAATAAGCAGCAAAAAAAAGAAAAAGATGATGTATCTTACTACAAGAAATGCAGGTATCTTTGAATTTTACATATGAATCGAAGTTCTCTGTGCTTTTAAACTTGAATAGTGTGGTGTACCCAAAGCTGAAAGATTTGCAGTGAAATATTTGGCTAGGGCAGTGAAATTTTGTCAGGTAGGTTTGTTGTTTAAAAGCAATTGCAACCAGTGTAGATAAAATGGTGCCAAGTACATGTTTCAATAGGTGGAAGTCAGAGAAGAACTTTGTGTTAAAAGAGAAAAAAAAATAATGACTTGCTAGTGAACTGAGGGAGGTGATCCTTCTCTGCTCAGTGCTGGTGAGGCCATACCTGAAGTCCTGTGTCCAGTTCTGGGCTGCCCAGATGGAGTTATTGGAGAGAGCTCAGCGAAAGGCCACTAAAATGTCACAGTGGAGCATCCCTTCTATGAAGAAAGACTGAACAAGAACTGGGAATGCTTAGGCTGGAGAAGAAAAGGCTAAAGGCAGAGGTCTCATCAATGTGTAGAAATACCTGAAGGAAGGTGCAAAGACAATAGAGCTAGGCTCTTTTCAGTGGTGCTCAGCAAAAGGACAAGAGGCAGTGTGTACTAAATGAAACTCGGGGTTTTGAACATCAGGAAACACTTTTTTATATTGTGGGTGATTAAATGCTGGCACAGGCTGAATGCTGGCATGGAATGGTTGTAGAACCTTCCTTGGAGATATTCAGAAGCTACCTGGACGTAAGTGGCTCTTGCTTGAGCAAGGGGATTGGATCAGATGATCTTCAGAGGGTCCCTTCCAGACTCAACCATTCATTGATTCTGTGACAGCTCAGTAATGGTTAATCACAGTTTTCCCATTCTGATCACCCTAGTAATTTCTCCTTGGAAGTAGTGGCAATAATCTGACCTTACAGTTTTCACAAATATGTTCTATTTCCATATGAATTTAATGCAAGAAAGCTTATACCAGTCTTTGTCATTTGACTATTAATTATATATATCCAGTTTGGTCTGTTCAGATACAGTAGAACTCATTTTTTTCTTACATTACTGACTAGGTATTAACTACTTTTTCGTATTCTTCTTAATATAGAATTTGATCGTCATGAAATCCAGATCTATGAAGAAGTAGCTAAAATGCCTCCTTTTCAGAGGAAAACACTGGTTTTAATTGGGGCCCAAGGAGTGGGACGAAGAAGTTTGAAGAATAGGTTTATAGTACTGAATCCTACTAGGTTTGGAACTACAGTGCCATGTAAGTTCTCAGCACTCCTGTTGTAATACCACGTTTGGAGTTTCTCATCTGAAAAGCAAGTGAAATTTATCCCATTCATTTCTCAGAGTATATGAATTGTTTATTGTGGGAAAACAGAAAAAAAAACATCCTTCATCTTTTCAGACAACTGAACTAGCATATGACAACAGTTAAGATATTTGCAACTACCAATTAACTGTAACTGCTGCTGCAGAAAACCACTATTTAAGTATCTGCTGGGTTTGTTCAGTGTCAGTTGCCATCACTTGAGGGGATTGTAGAAGTTGCTAGCTTTCTTCTGTAATAAGCAGCCAGTGGAGTTTCTCAGGTCTGCTGTTTAGTTTTTTCATCTGTAGAAGCATCCTAGGCATTATAAGTTGTTACTGAAGTATTGGAAGTGTGGGGAAAGGAAAGAGGTAAACTTCCTGTAAAATGGGAGCGTTTGTGATCTCTAAGATCCGTATGATTATCTGATGTTTTATTCCATCTAGCCTCAAACCTGTGATCTTTCTTTTTTACTATCAACTTCAGAAAAAGAACCTCCTCTCCTACTCCATTACTGAAATATTTGTTTTCTTGTCTTTGCTACAGTTGGTTCCTTTTGCTCACTTACAGGATTACTACTTACAGTAGTAGTGATGTCAGTTCTGTTAGAACATAGGTGCAAGACCCTTAGCTACATTACTATTCTCCTGCCACATGCCCTTCAGAATTTCAAAGCCAATCTGTTTCTTCTGTTTCCAGTTGGTAAGAAGTGCTGATAATAGGAGAGGAGGAACAGGTCTTAAATTAGATGAATTGTGCCTTGTGAGGAGAGAACCTGTCTCTTTCCTCATGCGCTCACTTTCTAACCATTAAAACTGGCCAGTGCACAAACCATTTGTGAAACTAATAAAAAGGTTGAAGGCACAGTGTTATTTTTTTAATGAAATCTTCCTGTGGAAATCCCATTATTTACTGTATGGCAAAGTAGTATGAAACTTTGTTACTTCAATTTTTTTTTCTCCTTTTTAAGAAGCCTTCAAAATTACTGATGTCTCTGAAACACTGTATCTACAAATAAGTAATGTAACCTCCCCTGTGTTAAAATGCTTTCATTTGGAGCTCTTGAATACCCTTCAAAGGTATCAAAATAAACTTTCCCAATCACCTGACAGTTTCATGGTGCGTATTAAATCTGCGGTTTGTTGTACATGACATCTCTACTTTATACTGAGATTTTTCAGTAGGATAATCAGTAGTCAGCATAATCAGGCCTCAGTTTCTTTGATTAGAAGAAACTTTTGATTATTCACAAAAGATCTTTTTTATGTATGTTGGAAAATGCCTGAGATGGATCCATGATGTCCTACAGTAGAGCACATCCTTAGTGTTGAGCTCAGATCCAGCAAAAGTTGCTGGTTGGTTTTTTTTTTTATTTTTTTTTATTTTTTTTTCAGTTTGGGTAGCTGAACTCTAAAGTCACCTTCTGCCTGTGAGCTATCACAGCTCACTCCCCAAACTGCTCCATTTTTTCTCTGTTTCATTTTTTTGTTTTGTTTTTTAAAGTATTGTATTAATCCTTAGACTTCCAGTGGGAATCTTGTCTAAGATTAGGTGTTGGAGTAGCACTTGTATTACTTACAGTTTCAGAAGATTCTTGAGTTCTCTGTAATAGTTGATAGAAATCACTGGAGAGGTGGGAATGTTTTTCAGTTGTATCACAGTATTGCCAAAGGGATCCATTCACTGTTATTGAAAATGTATTCCAGAGTTCAAATCTAATTGAATGCAAATTGTGGGCAGTAATACAGTGATAGGGCAGCAAAGTAGGTAATAATCTGGTCTTTTGTTTTATAATGTAATTTCCACATTCTTGCTTAAATAATGTCTGTGCTGTAAATTGTGGGCCAATATCTAAGCTGGCTGCTGATATTTTACTTAAGTGTGGGCTGTAATTTCTCTGCAGTGAATTTTCTTTGCTGTGGAGGGTAAGTTGTCCTGGAAAGTAGCATCAGCTGGCCTCCACCAAGTTTCTCATTGCCGTGGCTGGGCTTGTTCTGGCATTTGAGCTAACTTTTCTTATAGCTACTTCAGGTGATTCTGCCTCGAATAACAGTGAGTGACATATGTGATAATATTTCTGGGGGGAGGTAGGATGGGGTGGATCTTGATGTGTATTCAGTTGGTTTTCAGAAGTCAGTTTGTCATTTGAGAGTTCCATTTCATTGAAGTTCCATTTCATTTGCAAGTCAGTTAAATAATTATTTTCAGTCAGTAATTAGGAAGATGGTATAAATGCATATTGTATATGGTTTGTAGGAGTAATGCAAAGGAAAAATAAATATCTAAGGGTAAGCAGTGTGTAGGAAAGAACAGAAATAAAGAGAATGGGAAGGGCTGTGCACAGTTCTGGAATGTATGCTAGAATAATTGATGATTCTGTATATGGAACCATGCTAATTATACTTTATCCCTTATTATAATCTCCATAATTTAAAAGCAGCCCAATCTTGTGCATGTATTCCAAGTACAAAAAGATTAACGTTCAGTTTGTATTTTAAATTTTTTTCAGTTACTTCACGAAAACCAAGGGATGATGAAAAGGATGGACAAGCATACAGATTTGTGTCACGAGCTGAAATGGAGATGGATATTAAAGCTGGCAGATACTTAGAGCATGGAGAATATGAAGGAAATCTTTATGGCACTAAAATTGATTCTATCCTTGAAGTTGTTCAGACAGGAAGGACCTGCATTTTGGATGTGAATCCACAGGTACATCATTCATAATGTTGCACTCAAAAAGGTGGAGTATAATGTTGATGAGGCATGCCTTTAAATCTGAAGGCTTCTTACCTGGCTGAAAGATTATGCTGCCAACTGGATTTGTGTGTTTATGGAACTTAGCTGGAATAAGTTATAAAGATGGTGGGGAAAAAACAGATTCTGCATGGAAGTGGGAGCCTTGCAGAGCAGCAGTTGCTCTTTTTAAACCAAGAAAAAAATGATGCTGAGCATTTCAAAAGGCGATGTAGAAGTTTCTGAAATAGAATTAAAAATCTTCACCTATCTTGTATTTCTACTGACTGTAACATCATAGTTTTGCAGTGCCCCTTAAGTGAAGGGGATGTTTGAGTCATTCTCATACTTCTTTTTTTCCTCTCTTTTTTTATTGCTTCCAGGCCCTGAAAATACTGAGGACTTCAGAATTCATGCCCTATGTAGTGTTCATTGCTGCTCCGGAGTTGGAGACTTTGCGTGCTATGCACAAGGCAGTGGTAGATGCTGGAATTACAACCAAACTTCTCACTGTAAGCAGATTATTTTGTATTTACTTTGCTTTGAACAGGATGTTCTTAATTTATTTTTAATTTTTTTAATTTTTTTTTTCTAAAATTAAAGTCTTCAAGAAAAGTAAGGCAAGATATTTGCTGATTGCTTACTAGGAATTAATCAAACACTATGTGTAAGGCAGAATGCTTCTTCCTTAAAAATAGCCCTTTTATAAATAGTGTTGATTACAAGAATTACTTTGAATGTATTCTTTGGGAAGTGCCACCTTTGATTATTTACAGCGAGTTATAGATACCTTGATGGCAGGAGATGTTCTTTTATATAAGTGCCTTTCCTTCACTTCACCACCTCACCCTCAGCACAGTTGTTTTTCAGGTTTGTCTTTATGTTATAGGTGTGCCTTAAAAATGTAATCTGTAATCCTTAGGAAAGACCTTATGGACTGTTTGAAACAAAACAAAACAAAATCAAAATAAATAAACAAAAAAGCCAAAGGAAGCAACGAGAATTCAGCTGGACCTCATTTCCACTGCTACAGCAGCACACACTGCACCAGAAATGGCTGAGAGCTGCCAGAAAAAGCAGCATTGAATAGCTTCTCCTCCTGTGACGTTCCTTAGATTTGTCATGTAAAGCAAAGTGGTACATTTTATTCCCTAGATCCTGTCTCCTTTTCCGAGACCCAGCAGAGGCAAATGAGAGGCATAGCGAATTATAAATGTTCTGTATGGGTTTGAACTTTCCCACTGCAGGACCAGTGCAAAAAAAAAAAAAAAAAAACCAAGTCAGGCTGGGCAGTTAATGAAATCATTCTCTATGCTCAGCAGTACCTGGGAAAAGCCCTGGCATGCTGACAACTCAGCTGTAGTTGTATAGCTTAGATAGTAGTAATACCTTGTGTGATGCTGATGGGGCATTCCAAGCTATGAAATGGGAAGAGATTTAATTTATACTGAAAGAATATGGGATTTTTTGTTTTTTTTCTCTCCTGAAACCTGTGAGATTCTGTTCTGTTAATAACATGAGAAACTGTCCAGCCCTAGTTGTGGACTGAGGTTGTTGTGGATTCTGGTATGTCTGTGGGTGCTTTGTGTTTCCTTCTTCCTCCAAACACTGACTTTTGCCTTGTGTAATCAAGAGGCAAGATTAAGACTGTCCAGACAAGTATAAAAGTAATTTCCTGCGCTTCCTAAAATTTGATTCCCTAAGGGACATCCTTGCTTTTGTTTTACTTCCTCTGTGAATAAGAAAGAGAGAGTTACATTCAAAATATTCATTTTATAAATCTGTACGGATTCTGCATCATAACATTGGACATCTGCAGCTTCCTGAACAAACAAAGAAGAAATGTGCATTTAAAGTATTGCATACATCGTTTGCTAGTGGGTCTGTCTAAACTATTCCTGGCTTCCCAGGCCACTGCAAGAACTCTGGCTCCTGTGGTGCTGCATTTGCTTGCCTCCTTCATTTACTGTGAAAGAAAGGCTATTCGCATAGTTCTTAATTTTGGCTTTCGTATTTACAACTGTAGTGGCATTTTAAAGATCTGAGATTCATTCATAAATGCAGCTTTCATGATCTTTCATTTCACACTAACTTAAATTCTTGGGGTTTTGGTGCTTTCTGTAGGGAAGAAAAAAGAGGCATAAATAAACGTACATAACCGACCCAGTTATTCCGAAGCAGTAACTGCTCTGATTGAATTGGCAGTTGCCTCCACAAAGCAATGAACTGTCTGTTGTGCATGCAGGGCCCCTTTCATGTGCTGTTATTGACTTCCTTAAAAGTCGCCAGATGTGCAATATTTGGTTTCCATATTTGACACTGTTGATATCAAATATAAAATTGTAAGTCCTGTCAGTGCATTTTAGCTTGAGGGTTTTGTGACTTTATTATAAATATTTTTTTAATACATAGCAGTATAAAGCTTTAAATGAAGTCATCACAAACTAGTACTTCTTAATTGGTAAGGATGTGGCAAGTCTTACGTTCTTAGTAACTTCCAAATGCTTCCAACAGGACACTGATCTGAAGAAAACAGTGGATGAAAGTGCCCGGATCCAGAGAGCGTACAACCACTACTTCGATCTGACCATTGTAAATGACAACCTAGACAAAGCCTTTGAGAAGCTGCAGACTGCTATAGAAAAACTGAGGCTGGAACCACAGTGGGTCCCGATTAGCTGGGTGTACTGAGATTGCTGAAGATGAGCTTAAGTAACAAATAAAATCAACTGCAGGAAACAAACTAACGTGACAAGATGTGGTGTAGATAGCGATAACTGCGGCGCCTGCGCATTTTTACTCTGTGTATATTCAAAAGTACACTATTCTGACTTTTTATAATAATGCTGAAGGGAAAGTGTACTTAAATATGTAATTTATTTTAATTTTTCTAACTTTTTACAGATAACCTTTCTATTCATATCACATGAAGGAAATGCGTTTAAGCATTTTATACGTTTTGATTTAGTACCTTTGCCTTTTTCATCTGAGAAATTTTCAGTCCTTCACTTTCACATTTACATCTTGGTCTTACATTTTCACTGTGACTAAAAAGAGGATACTTGAAACAATTTTTGTAAAACTTGTTAATGTCAGTGTTTAACCGGTCAAAAGTCTATAGCTCTTATTAGGAAACAACACTAATTTCTTTTTTTTTTTTCCTTAAAGTAATGATTTGACAGGAGTAGAATTTCAAATGCTAAAAGCGACACAGCTCCATTGCTCCAGCTTCTTTCTGCTGAATGTTGAAGCATTCTTGATGTTTCACGAATTCCTGGTGTCTCTTGATTTAGACAACTGTTCTGTAGGTTCCCTTACGCGTCCCTTGAAATCACACGAAGCAATACCTTGCAAGCTGCTCATCAGCTGTTTTTGGGAGCCAACCTGTCAGAAGCATCTTGTGGAAGTACCTACGGCAGGGAGCATGTATGCAAGGTAATTCAGTGCAGTGGTGATGTAGCTGGAGAAGAGAACCTGATAGTGGAGCCTTGTAGAGTAAAGCTTAATATTTAGGACTGTTGTATTCATGCGTATGAAAACACATTGATTTTAAAAAACAAGCAAAGAAACAAAAAACAACAAAAAAAAGAACCCAAGCCAGCATTTTCTTTTCTTAGGACATCATTGATGTTTATATAGTGATCTGTGGCTTAATTTCCTGAGATATCTTGTGTTCTCTTTTGGAAAATTTGTGTGATCAACTGTTGTATTTTTGAGTGTGATGTAATGGAATTTCTGTGCTCTTTGTTGCATTGTGTTTTTAATTGATTTTTTCATTAGGTAGCTTGTAAATTGGAAGCTTACTGCTAAAAAGCCACGCTGTTCATAATTTTTGTGCTTTACAACATACTTCTTTTTGTGATTGGTGACAGTTCTCCCCTTTGTAGGCTCATAGACATAAGTCACATTAGGTTCATGGATCAAAGCTTATGCTAATGTAAGTTTCTGCTTGACAAGAACAAAATGAAAATAGAGCTTGTCACTGAGACTTGCTCTTTTTGTGATCACATTTTGTATTACCTGTTAGCTGTTGTATATAGCAACATTCACCATCACTTACCAGGCTAACAGAAGTCATCTATTTGCTTAATTTCTCTTCCATCTGGTGACAGGCACCTTGCTTCTGAATTCTTTTTCAACACCAAAGTGTGATACAGAACACTCAAAAAGGCAATTTCCTCAGAAGTTTTCTGAAGAAAAAGAGGCCTGCACACTGTAAAGCAGTATTGGTTCCTGGGGCTCTTAAAGCCTTCTACATGCACATGTGAAACTGTTGATATAAGAAAAGCTTACATCTCAAAAAGCAAAACCACCCCACCTGTATGCTACAGGTGTTTTTTAAAGCTGATGAAGTTGGTTGTTTGGCAGGGGGTAGTTTAAAATCACAGTGTATTTGGAAAATGTTTGTCAGAGCTGTGTAAGCATGGAATGTGGCTCTGAACACTGAGATTTCAGTCTTATGGAGAGAGTCTGAAAGTTTCAAAGGAAAATCTGTGCCACTACTTTGCTTTATTGGTTTTGTTTGCTCTGGTTTTAAGCTGGGTAGAGCTTTTAAGTGTGGCAGCATCAGCAGTAGCCCTTTATTTGCCTTTCCCAGAGATGCGTTCTGTGATCCTGTCACTCAGAGACTGCTCTGAGAAATAGATGGAGTGTTCTACGTGGCAGCAAAGACAGCAGAGCCATTGTTTGACTATTTCAATGGTTCTGTTTTGGCATTATAAGCTTAATGTGATGGCATTGTGTTTGCATATTGTGTAATAGAAGACCTACATGTGCTGTAAATAAGATGTGCTTCCTGGACAGATACGATGCCTTTTCATTACGAGTTAGAAAATACTCTATTTGTGATGCCAAAAGTGGGCTGAGCTCACTCTTCCTTAACGAATGGAATGAGATGATTCTTCAGTTTCCACCCCATAGTGGTTCATATTGCAAACATCACCTATTTTCATCATTTTTCAGACAGGTACTCAGCCAAACGAATCCCATGAGACATGGGCACCAAGGGTCAGTCACGAAAACCTCGCTACTCCTATTTCCATCTCAGAGATCATACTGTGCAAAGGGCCTACATAGTAAGCAGGCTCCAAGTAGCCATGTATTTGCTGAAGCCTGAAGCTTTAGCTTTCGCTTAAGCTCCACACAGTGTTTAGCAATCAAGCACATTTAAGTTAGCACTGTGGAGCCCAGCAGCTGACCCTTTGCTGCTGTTAATATGGTTGCTAATGAGAAGTATAATCTAAAGCAATAAACAGTGGGTTTCTAAGGTTGCATTCAAGAACAGTTATCAAAGTGAGTACAGGTTTCAACTGGATGGTCACGTGCAAGTTTAAAGGAGGAAAAAGTACATTCCTTGCATCTGTTTGTTAAATCATACAAACTGAGAGTCCATGCTGGCAGGTGTATAGTATTTGGGAATTATTTTTTTCATCAGATATTCTGCTTATTGTTGCCCAGTAGGGTGACTAGATTGAAAATGTTACTTTTATTAAACCAAAGCATTCCTGGAGAGTCTTAGAATGAGGATGCCATGTTGGTCATGTACACAGTGGTGCCAGACTCCACCTGTTATAGTGTGCTAGGTCAGAAGTTGGGCAGGGAGCTGTGCATTGCACTGTGAGGAAAAAGATGGTGTGAAAGGTGAGTTCTAAGCAAGGGAAGCCATTTCATATAAGAGCTGTTTGAAGTGTTCCTGGGGGATAAATAGCTAGGATGTCACGTCTCTCATTCTGTACTGAGCATTCATTTTCCAGATAACAGGAGAACTTTTACATTGACTGTTAATAACAATAGGTGTGTCTGAGCGAGGCGAAGATGCTGCTAAATGTTTAAGATATGTGGTATGTATCACAAGATAAATATTTAAGTAAGTAGATTAGAAAAGTGAATTATCAAATAGTTGTCTGTGTATATGTATGTATGTGGATGGTGAAACAAAACCGCTCATGTCTGCTTCCACATTTCTATCTCTCACGACTTAATCCAGAAATGTACCTGCATGTGAGACTTTAGAACTGGTACACTTCTCTACCTGGTTTATTGTGTTTACTAATGTATATTTTTCTAAATATACAGATATTTCAATCTAAAAATTCTATATTTATCTGTAATTTCTATGTTTTAAACAGTGCATGGAAGTGCTGTAAAATTCTGTACATATTGAGAGACTTATAGAAGAAACACTGTCATTGCCCTCTGTATGAAAAGTTATATATAAAAACACAGTCAATATGCCAATACCCATAAGTTATTTCTTTAAATGCACCAAAAATGCCCCTAATTATACACCAATCTCAACCTTAATGTAAATACTTTTTGGTGCATTTATACCCACATGATTACTTTGCTGTCTCTAACTGTTAGACCTGCAGGTCTACTTTAGGTTCTAAGTCATGTGACAACATGCAGTCAATTAAAGTTTGGTGTAGTATGTCATCTTGCATAGACTTAAAAAGGGCTTTAGCAATGATCTGCAAGCATAAAATGGAGGTAAAATTGGAGCAGTATCACATACTGACGCAGGCAAGGGAAATAAGCCTTACACCCAGTGTGGTACTCCCAGTCTGCAGAGTTCTCAGATCAGTGCAGCTCTGTGTACTCAGTCATACAAAAGCTGCAGAATAGCAGATTGGCTCTTTCAGAATCTGTATATAATCTGTCACATCCTTGGTAGGCTCAAAATGCAACTTTTTTTTTCCTTCTATTCTGACTCATTGTGTCCTCTAAAATCCCACCTGAGTGATTTGCTGTACAAATTGCCAGCAGCTCAGTGTTCAGGAAGTGTTCCATGGTTTGTTTGTATGGTTGTTGTTTTTTTTTTTTAAGACTGATTCAGATAATAAATAATAGGAAATTTTCTTTTAAGTTTTGAAGACAGAAATCTAGGCTAGGGCCCCTTTGAAGCCAAGTTTGCCTCTCTGCTGTGCTTAAGAAAGGACCAGTGGAGAAGGACAAGTAGAGCACAACTCAAGAAATCAGGAGAGAGCTGGGTTACCTGTTTTTACACAAGCTGTTACTGTGAACACGATCCAACCTAAACTTCTCTCCCTATTCCTTGGCTTCCCATCTAGTCTTCATCTATTTTCATCTTTCAGATTGAACTTGGAGGCAGATGCCAATTCTCAAAACATCTATAGTGCCTGCTGCAGTAGTTTCCCAGTCACTCTTTGTGCCTGTAGGTACAGTTTTAACACTAATTACAGGTGGAAGTCTGTCACATCCATCATGCTAATAATATGTATGGAGTATTTGCTTCGTACAGGGTTTCTTGCCTCACCCAAATTCTGAAGTGTTAAAGCATTGTGTTGTTATTGCCAAATTTCACAATACTTCTTCTGCAAAAGTGTTCAGAGATCGATTTATTCATGTTTAGGTAGTGGTTAGTTGATACAAGAGACTTCGAGTCTGCCAGACCTCTTGCCTTAAATATCCCTGTAGTTCTCACAGAAAACCTCTCTTGGGCCATTAACAGGATTTTAACAGGACTTTGATTTCTCTGGTGGACTGTCATTCTTGAAGGTGGAGAGGTTCTGGTCCTGGTTTCTTTGTTTTTTCCCCCTACCCTTTTTGGTTTTCACATTTTTAACAATCTTTCTAACAACATGAACTGCTTGGGATTCTCACCTTGCCTCCTTCAGAGGACACTGGTCAACGTAAGCATTGGTATTTAAGAACAGTGGAACTTGCTGTTGGCAGTCCTATACAGGATGCAAAAGAAAAAACTGTATTGCATTAAAAAAAAAGTGTAAAATTAACAGATTTTCAGGGGCAGCTTTGGCTTCCAAATAGTATTAGTGTACTCGCACACAAATTTATGGATATATAGAGATAGATAAATAGAACTTAGGATTAATATACTGCAAGTATTTAAAACAGTATTTGCTAACTTGAATTCTCCATTTTGGACCACAGTGGGATACTGTTCCACAAACTGTCACATTAAACTGCTGAATTCTTTGTTCATTTACTGGTACTGGAGCTGGAATTCACCTGCTTACATAAAAATTCCAGCTTGGTAAAGGCTGTGTAGCAGTTTTACCTCCAAATAGATTTTTTTTTTCCCTTTTTTAAAGGACAGTTTCAGCAATATTGCTGATATTGCAATGTTTTATAGTACAAAGGACATTTAAAAGAAGCGTGAATTTTGTTCTCAGTATTCTTAACCTCTTCTCATACTAGTTGGGTATGGATTTTCTTTTGCTACTAAAGCAGAGGTTGGATGGGGAATAGGACCAACCTGCAGTGCTAAAAGGGTTAAAGTAGTCCTGGAAACATTTTCTCCCATTCTTTTGAAGTCATTAGCTCCATGGTAATGAATGTCCTACAAGTTTGTCTGTCTTCACAGCTGATGCAAGTCAGCACTCCATGGTAGACAGCACTCAGCTGGAGTATAGTAAACCTCTTCCTACAGCCCAAGTAACTTGTCAGTCATTTGATCTCTTGTATGATATACAGAGCAGCAGTAATGGCACTGCTTTGTACAGTTCTGGGAGCAGCAGCAAAATCATTGGCTGCAAAAATTCTTGTGAGTTGTTTTTGTTCTGGGTTTTTTTTTTGACTGGTTTGTGTTGGTTCCTCTTGTGCAATTACATATGGAGAGAACTGCAGAAAGGGTTTCTCCCCCACTGAAAATGCATGTTGAGCTTTCCCTGGCCCTGACTCCTGCTGCATGCTTCTCCTGTATGTAACACTGAGTACCCTGAAGTAAGGCAGAACCTCTTCCTTAGGTTTTAAAGCAGAAACTTTAGCACCCTCTCACCCCAGGCTGGGCTAAGAACTATCAAACCTTGTTTAAGTGTTTTGATTTAAACGTGTTAAAAGTGTCAGTGTACATCTCTTTCCCTTGCTTATTCTCATACCTGTTTTTCCCTTTTGGAAACTTTGAATGATTTTTTTTCTTTCTACAGAGTATTAAATTAAACTGGATTTAAAACTTGTAAATGTTGAAGAACTGCTCTCCTGTAAAGAAATACTTTACTTTCTATTAGCTGAAAATATCCTACAAAACAATCTTAACTATTTAAATTTTCTAATGCAAAACTGAAGCTGACTTAGTAGCTAACTGTTGTTTGAATACAATGCTTTAGAGCAGGCCTAGGAGGTGGGACTCGATAGCACGCTGACTTTCTATTGATCAGCTACCACATAGGACATTTTTAAATTGTAACTTGTTTTCTAAAACCCCCATTGTCTTTTTCACAGCTAATATTTTCACAGTAAACACAGCCAAGCGTAAAAATATTAATGTACAAATTAATTCCCAACAAAATATTTTTGTATATAATAAAGATTTAATATTGAAAAACTACACTCTTTTTTGTTGGATTTTTTTGTCTTTCTGTGACTTGTAACTAACTAAAAGATGCTACCCAGAGGCTGTGAAGAAAGGGCAAGCAGTGCTGTGGAATTCCCCTGCCCTCCTCCCAGATTGAATGGCTGTGCTTCTGTGCTAAGCTCTGGAACTCAGCTACAGGTTGGAGGGTGGGAAATGAATGGCATTTGAAACTAATTTAAAGGGGGTGAAACAGGATGGAGATTCCCTCATGAAAGAAAGGGATTGATCACAGTTCAGAAACGTGACTTCTTGGCTTTTGAATGCACCCATTTCAGATCCTATGCAGAGCACTACAGGCCTTTTCAACCATCCTCTTCAACTATAAATGCCATTGCTAAAGCAGGGCTGCTTACTTTCTAATCACTACCCTATTAAGGGGGTCAGTCTCCTACGTTCACATTGTAATTCGCCAGCATACATAAAAGCTCAGGCAGCTGAAGCCTGCATCCGGTGCAAGGCGAGCACTTGTTACTGGCAGCAAGGCTGACCTCACCTTCCCTTTCCTGATCTGATTCTGAAATGCAAAGGTGTGGGGTCTTCCCCCTTCTGTAGAAGGCAAGTGTATCAGGAAGCAACATGGGAGAGACGGCTGAGAGTGAAATGAAGCCCCAACCTCTCCTGAAGGACCCCAGTGCCCTCTTACCACCTCTGTTTTCTAGGGAAGGCCCCATCTAACCTTGAAGGAGCACTTTCTGTACGAGGCCAGCCTGTCACAAGCAATCACTGCTTCAGCCAGGATGCACTGAGTAGAATCTGAATTCATTTGGATCAGTGCAGGCAGGGTCTCTGAAGACGCTCTCCTCATTTACCTTAGGGAAGGGCAGAACAAAAGTTAGATGGAAAGAGACTCATTGCTTCTGCTGCCTCTTTGGATTTAGGTATCCCCAGCTTGAGCTATTTTGAATGTTCATGTGCATCAAGATGCTGCTTTAAGGACAGAGAGCACATAACAGGGCAGACCCACGCCTGGTGGCTGCCATGCAAAATCAATGCCTCCTTTTTTATAACTAAGTCTCTATAGAATACCTGGGGGTCTTTTTCCCGTGAAAACAAATCCCCTCATTCATGTTCGATACAGCCCACCAACCTGAAAGCAGTTAAGTGCAGCACATACACGGCTTACAACAAGAATAAAATCAGGATATGTGGACAGCAGCACTGCATGGATTCACACACATCTTCTTGCTGTGTGCACGATTTTCAAAGCCAAGAGAAGGACTGGAATCAGAAAAAAGATGAATGGAAAACACGCAAATTGATTTTTCAAATTATTCTACTGTTTTGACATACATGACATTAAATACAAAATTTTGATAAAATAGTTACAGAGGCAACTTGCCTACGAGTAGTTAGCAAAAGCAAACCTTCCCATGTACAGACACACAACTCACAAGCAGGGTAAGGTGCTCTCAGGACATTTCCATACACACCAGCAGCATTAGGCCAAAACCACCAGCTTCACTTTACACTCACGTTACAAACGAGACACTGAAATACCACCATCTCAGTGTGAGCACCTCTCCTTCCAGGTGCCCAGTTGTCACCTGTCAACCATCCCTCAGTGCTGGCTAAAAGCACTGAGAACCCACTTCATTAGAACAGCTTCCTGTATTTACAGTGATCTCTCCTGCACTTCCCATCTCCATGATTACAGAAAATTATGATCAAAAAAAGGCAGAACAGTTCAAAGCACAAAGTGCTTTACATTAACCCTGCTGTTAGTGAAAGACACAAGCAAAACACTGAAAATGGGTAAAATGACTGCTTTGTGGAGCGCAGCAAGGACTTTGGTTTGCACATACTAGAAGGCATCACCATATCTCAAAGACAAAGTTCAAAATACAATCTAAGCAGCTGAAACTTGCTAAGCTTAGTAAAAACTTAATGGAAAAGAGAGGTAGAAATCCCTCAGGTGGTCTCAGTTTTGGAAAAAAAGAAAAAAAGAGTTCATTATTTCCTCCAGTGTGCAGCTCACATCCATAAAGCCAAACTACACTTGATGAAGAAAAACCTAATGAAGTACCTTTCAGAGCTCTCCCCTTCATGTCCTCCAGAGTGAAGATATTCTGCACATCAGGTCTTAAGTGAGCAAAGCATGTAATTGCATTGCAGAATGCTAGATTTCCACAGCCTTTTTGCTTGCTTGCTTACAAAAAGCAGTTTGTACTTTGCAGTTTTCTCCCACGCATATTAATGCAAGCAATCAGGCTTCCACTGCTCTACAGTTCTGACAACTATCAGAATAGCTATGTTCAATTTCTCTTCCAGGCTTGTCTTATCTTCTTCCCCTGCATCCCTTATTTATGTATTTTCCATTGCAGACAAACCTTAGTGGAGCTGCAGAGCAGCAGTGTGCTCACTCCTTGCCTGTGCTGCCCTGTGCCACCTGGCTTCACTGGCCTGAGAACTCAACCCCAGGGCTCTCACGTGCTCACAAGCATCAATGCTACGCTGCATAGCTACACAAGGAAGAACAGGGTAGGGCAGTAAGTGCTCAAAAAAGCTCCTCTACAGTCCCACTCAAACTGTGAAGCCCGTACAGTGCAACATAAAGAACAAGAGGGAAGAATCTAGGTTCTCTCATTGTTACAGCTTTTACAGAAGACTCTGTCCTTTCCAAATTAATGTTCGTTGAAGCAAAAAGCCTTTGCACGACATCAAATCTTCCTCTGTCAGTGAGAGTTGCCACCAAAGGACTGCTCAGTGCCAAGGTGCCATCAGCTGAAGCGATGTAAGGCTGTATTTATGAGAGAGAGAAAAAGACAGAAACAAAGACATTAAAAAGGCCTTTCAAGCAGTGCTGTTCGGTGTTGCACAGCTTAGTTCTTTCTTACAAAGCCACTGGAGAGCTTACAAGGCAGTGTAAAAAGGAAAGATTCCCTGTTCCATCAGCCTTGACAAAGTACAACGTACTCATCTCCAACCAAAGCTCACCTCCCACAGCCATGTTTCAAATAGTCCATTGATTTGTGATGGCCCCCACCCTGGTACCACCCACTCCCTGGGTCACCCTTGGGATGCTGGAGATACCAGCACCCCCAAGCCAAACCTGGGATTTACAGTACCAAGGCAACCCAAATGCTAACAGTTTAAGTGTCCTGATGCAGGCACCAAAACTTGAAGTTGTTTTAAGGGATTCCCAAATAACTCTCCAGATTCCAACCATAATGAAGTAGGTGACTCGCTACTGCCTAGACAGTTTTGACTTACTATGCAAAGAGCTGCTCCGCAGATTACATTTAACACTCTTACTCTGAAAAACTCCAGCATTCATCTCCCTACACATTTAAAGGGTTTTACTGTAATTTTTGTCACCAACCTTAAGAAATTCAGAGCAAATGTCAACCCTGTGCCCTCTTTAAATAGTTTTAATGAATGGCCTTTGAGATTTGGAACTTCAGAATCTGCCAAGGCCCAAGCAATGCTGGTATCAAAGTGAAGTTTCTGTTCCCCAGGGGCAGCTGATTATCATTAGTGAGATTTTTAAATGGGCTATGGAGGCTACTAGTAAATTAAAACTCAAGTTAAAATTATTATTATTTTTTTTTGCTCACAGTCACCAAAATGCAGAAATGCTTCAGAAGTGAGGTACCCATCTGCATTAAATTACCCACACTATTTGCCACTGTCAGGCTCTGACCCTGTCTAAGCAATGCTTCAAGCTGAAATTCACACTAGAGCCTGACATCTGCTTTCTTGGGTGGGAACACAATGAGCCAGGGAATGCAGCCATTACTGCTGCTGGTGCCCACACGCTACATGGGCACGCTTTGATTACTCACCAAGCAACACAATGCCGGAACAACCTGTAGATCAGAGCAGGCACGCAGCAGGACAAGAGTGTAATCAGACAGCTCTGTGAAGGAGACATTAATAGGGAAAGATTGTTTCCAGTGAACAGGGTACAAGGCTGGCTGCTGGAACTATGCTACAGGGCTCTCCTGCTGAGCAGCAACAGCAGGCTGCATTTCTGAGGCTTACACGCAGGTACAGAGCCCTGGGAAACAGGAACAAAGAGATTCTACACCAAGGAGAGCTGTGACAAAGTGCTCTGCTGGACATAGGGAAGAGGCTGATCCTGACCTTTCCTGTTTGCTTCCTAGACTGTAGAATCAAGGGGGATGGCAGTGGATGCAAGCAAACCCTGCACTGCCTGTCCTTGCCCTTGACAGAAAGGTAGTGGTGGGAAAGATCTCTTTCCTGGCATTTTCTTCTCTCCAGGTATCTCCCCAGTGTTTCTGTGAGCCTGCAGGCAGGCGTACGATTTAGGCTCTGAATGAAACAAAAACTTCTGTTCTCAAAACCTGTTGTAGATGCTGACCTCAGCCAAAACATGATTTGAGAGGAATGATATAGCTTACTCTGCCCTGGGGAGATGGAATGAATGGTCCCTGCAGTGCCCTTCAACTTCGTAACTGAAATCCCTAAGAGAAGCAACAGGCATAGAACAGCTCTTGGCTCTTAATCCAGCTACAGTTATGCCTGGACACGAGCAGTAGATGTCATGTCCAAAGCCAGGTGATAATGCAGCATGCTCAATTAGTTGCACTCTGCTGTTAATAGCATCTGACAAGCATTACCATACCAGTGGCTGTTTTCTATCTCTTTTCCCTATCTACAAATTAGTTAAGCTTTCCTGTCTGTGTACCATTCACATATGGATGCAAACTGATAACTCTGCTGCACGGTGTCACATCTAGCAAATGCTGTGCTGTACCAATTCTAGCTCATATTGCACTGGATTCCTTTGTTAACCTTAATGTCAGGTAACCCCTTATGTTTGATAGAGAGGAGAAAAAGCCAGGAAAGAATTTATCTCGGATTCTGCAGGTGACCTGTAATTAACACTGTGGTGTCAAATAAATGCCATCCTCACCACCTAGTTGGCATTTAAGTTTAATCTCCTTTCTCAGTGGCTGCAGAATAACTCTAATTGCAGTGTCTCCATGTTAAATTCATTTTTGCTAAATATAGTTTGGCCCTCAACTGTTACAGAGAAGACAGCACCTCATTTGTAATTCTCAGGATTTGGGCAGGAAGAACTCTGGCACACAGCAAGAACAGAAATTAGCTTGTCAAATGGGAAATGCCCACATTCAGCAGAAACTAGAGTAGAGTAATCTTGAGGGAATGTGTATTTTACAAGCAAAATCTGCCAGAGATCAAGGGCTGAATTTAATTCACAGCTAGGAATGCCTGGCATCAAACAGATCCCAGAAAAAGGAACAGAACCAATTACATTTGCTAAGCTCACCAACTGCTCAAAAAGAGCCACTAACGTTTTACGCAGACAGACTTTCTAGAAGGGATGGAACAAAAAGGCTCTCTTCTTCAATCACAACATACCAGAGATAGCACTGATGAGGAGATGAACCGCTGAGAGCACTTCTTCATCTTGGAGCTGATAGTTCTGCAACAATAGCCCATCCTGTACACTGCACCCCACCAGCTGGAGGAAGTCAGCCAGGTCCTGCTGCAGCGCAGGTTTTAACTCCTTCAGGTCTGGCTTGTCTCCTGTGCAGAGAGCATCCAACTGGAAGCCAAAGAAAAAGCACAACTTCTTGAGGAGGCTCCAGGGAGACCTCATTGTGGCCTTCCAATATTTGAAAGGAGCATACAAACAGAAGGGAGAATGACTGTTTACAAGGGCAGACAGTGGTAGGACAAAGGGAAATGGTCTTAAACTAAGACAGAGGAGGTTTAGGTTTGATATCAGGAGGAAGTTTTTCCACACAGAGGGTGATGATGCATTGGAACAGGTTGCCCAAGGAGGCTGTGAATGGCCCATCCCCAGAGGCATGCAAGGCCATGCTGGAGGTGGGCAGCCTGGTCTGGTGGTTGGCAATCCTGCACATAGCATGGGGGTTGAAACTAGCATTGTGGTCCTTTTCAACCCAGGCCATTCTATGATTCTATGAAAAGAGAAAAGTCTGAGTACAAGATAACGCTTGCTCTGTTCTGAAATTACTTTTAGGAAGCAAAGAAAAGTTTCTTTATCTTACAACATCTTCCAGGGCAGTTAATGTTTCTTCATGCAGCAAGAGTTCACACAGACTTTTATATAAAGCTCTTTGCTTGTCTTCTGGCAGCTTCACAAAGGGTTGGAACTGAGCCTTCAGCTGTGACAGACCTTTCCCAAGAAAGCAGTAAAAAGTAAAACTAAGTACTGCTACACCAGTGCCAGTAAAAACAGTTAATGTTTTTGCTATGCATTTCATAAGCTAGTTTACCACCACATCTTGTCATCCTGATTTCATCAGTGCAAGTTATAATGAAAGGCTGGAACACATCTGAATATATTTCCCTAATTAGCCAACAGAATGGCCACGAAAATTCTGAGGAAAAAAATACTGCTGCTAAGGATTAACATTCCATACATTCTGTATTTTGGAAGTCAGTATTTTAATATTAACTGAATTAACCATATATTAAGTGTACAGCCTGGGTGTTCACCTCCAGACAATGTTCACTTTAAGGCAGAATGCAGTGCTCTGCTCATAACCTCACTTTTTGGACTATAGGTTAATGCCAATTACCAAGTCAATGCTGTGAGTCCAAACACAGAATTGGAGGTTTCTGTTGTGATGCTGAATTGTAAGCATCCTCCTACTTCAACAGAGGAATCCAAGCATTACACACCTTCAGTTCCCAGAATGACCTGTTATGCTTCATGACAAAAATATTTTCTTGATTGAAATACTGAATTCATTACAGTTCATAAAACAGAAACACAAGAGAGTTCAGTACTTTTCTTTTTCCACCATTCAATTATGATTCTACAAGAAAATATCACATGATTGTATCAAAATTACCACTTAGGTAAAACAAATTTTCAAGTCAATAGTATCAACTGGAAGGCTGGAATGTGCTCTTTCGCATTCCAAAAAATACGGGCATGAAAGCATTCTTAACCTTGTTTAAAAGACACAAAGAGACTTTGCTTGATGTCACTCCAGTAAAATGTCTTTTGTATCTGAAAATTATTTTATTAAAAAAAAACAAACAAACAACAAAACTACCCTTTCGAAGAGTTGGCTCCTCTCCTGTTTGTAGGGTGCCTTTATGTCCTGGAAGGAGCATAACTAAAGGAGGAGTGTATGACTCGGCAACTTTTGAGACTTTAATTGAGGAATATTCAGAGAGTATTTTCCAGATCACTAACAAATATTTTCAGTGAACTTTTCTGTTCACTAAGCACAAATTATCACTGATTTCATAGAGGTTATGCACAATATAACAGAACTGACATAAATACAATCTTAAAATATTAGGATTTTATGGCAAAGGGATTCAGTTTGTTGCCAGGGAGCAGTTCCCTGCATGTCCCCATTACTTCTGTAAATCTTTTTGTTCTTTCAGTGCATTCTCCCAGGACTTCCTGATAAGGGCTACAAAAATCAATTAACATCATTTCTTATGTACTATCCTACTAGATTATTTCCTTCTACCACGTTGCTTAACTCCCTGTAATGTAATCATGTAAAACATTTCTGGCAATACCTTCTTTCAACACACTTAAAGAAGCGTGGCTGGGAATGGGATTTTCAGCCCCAGAGTACATCCCATTATCAACAGCATCTGGGTGATACAGGAACGAAGTATCTCTGAACAGCACTGAGTGGGGTGACGTTGAACCTTCTGAGCTTTCTCTTTCAAAACCTCCTTGCTGTTCATCTAGCAGACAGAATTCTGAAATCAGAAATACAATTTTAAAAAATGCCACAAAACACACGAGCAATAACTGAATGAGATGCTAGCTTGCATCATCAAGTGTTCTCACACAATTTCTCCACACATCATCTCTTCTAAATGGAAATAATGCCAATAGTTGCTTGCTGCACGCTATTACTGCAGCCCTAATGCACCAGCAAAGGCCCTGTGCTAAAGCTGTCAGCCACAAAATGCAATGTCAGTTTCCATGAATTAAAGTACTGGAGCCAGCAAGTAACATGAAAACTTCTCATAGACACTGTGAACCCAAATGCTGCATGCAAGAGATGCAGATAGGAATTTTTTGTGACTTCTATCAATAAGAGATGTGCTGGAATACTGTCTGCAGAATCCACTCACAATGGAGGCACATGAAAGCACTTTCTGGGATTTATAAAAAGCTCTCAGAGCATCCCTTGCAGAACTTCTTCTGGTCTGGCATTGACAGACACCTCCTTCTGAGTCAAGACACAGATCCACAGTCAAGATCTCCAGACAGGTGAAAATTCATGGGCTCTAAAGGACTTCTAGCCACACTCACTAACCCTTCAATACACTGTCTCCTTTGCAAGAAGATGGAGAAAATAACATACTCTTCCTCTATTCCCCTTTCTGATGCATCTTTATAACATTCTCTTGAAATTCCAAGCACTGCTCTACCTCACCCAAGCAGGACTGCCTATGTTGTACTACTGGACTGCTCCCCACTGCCCCAGCTTTGTGAAGCTGTGGGATCCTGAAAGGAAGGAGCCTTTGTAAAAGTTTTGCTGAGAAATTTACAACATCATATAAATTCTGCACTCATGTGTCAGACTCTCTGAGTCTTTGGGGCATGCCATAATCAAATCTCTATGCATTATTTTATAATTTTTTTAGCAGCTTAAATGTAAGATTTTATACCATAGCCCTGGCACTCCAAAGCAGGTCTAAGGAGAACACAGGCAGGTTAGCAAGAGAAAGTCAATTTTGAAGTAGTACCTGACAGCAAATGGAAAAATGTAACTAATCAAGCACAGTGCTCACATGTACCAGGCACAGAACCTAAATATAACCTTCCCACAGTTGTAACAGTCTGTCTCACCAAATTAAGGACATTCAAAGCAGATGAGAAAGCATGGAGAGCACTCCATCAGCAAAAAGCTTTTTCAAAGGGAGAGCAGACAAAGAAATCTCTGCTGCGGAAAATGAAAGAGACCTTTATGCCTGCATAACCCTTCACAGAGAAGAGCAAGTTACAGAGGAGCAGAAAGTGATTAACCCAAATTAAAGAACTTCCCAAAGCAACAAGACTCAGGACAGTAGCAACGGCATCACAAGGCCAACATGCTCATGTAACTTTCATTGATAATGATAAGGCTTTCACATGAACCCTGAAGGAGGAAGATAGGGCTAATAAACTACCTGCACTGAAAAGAGAGGAAGATAGTAAGGGAAATCAACACACAGTACCATGCAAAGTGCATATCTGCTGTTAAATCTTGTAACAGGAATGTTTTGCTTTGTATTAACAAGACCATTAATTCATTTTATAACCCATAAATTTTATCAGAGAAGGAAAAAGACATGAATGAAAGTATACATCTAATAATGTTATATTTTTTCTGTTAGATGCTATTGCAGACCTCACTGACATATCTCCACTGGCAGTTAGATCTTGGCAGAAACATCAGCAAAAAATGAAAGAAATACAAAGATGACCAATAAAAACGATGCACTGATGATGCACTGAGATGCTGTAAAGATTAGGACAGTTTAATTCCCAGGCATGTCATAAGAACATCACATACATGCAGCAATGAAGAGAACAACGGTGGCCAGCCAGGTGTCACATCCTGTTTTGAGAAGGGAGAACAAGAGGGCTTGTGATAAAACAAAGAGAGAGAGAACTGAGCAGCCTTTAATGGGAACAGCTCTTAGCTCAAGGAGAAAATTAGCCTGCAGAAATCAAATGCACTGAATGAGTGCAGGAAAACATTGTGGTACAGAAATTGGAAAGGGATCAGACTTTTTTTTTCCCTCTTTCTTTTTATGCTCAAAAATGTCATGTTAGCCAAGGCATTTTTAAGAAAGTTTACACACCACTCTTCCATACCAAATAACTCCAACACTGCCTGTTAGTTGCAAAGAAAAAGGAACAAGGATAGGTGCACCTTATTCCACAATTAGCCGTGAAGAAAACCCCATTATGTTACACCTGCTGTTGGCCACTTTCAATCCCATGAGAAAAGACTACATCAATCCTACATCAATCCTAGCTTTAACTTCAAAGACAATTGTTACTTCCATAAACAGACACTGACCACTGCTCAGACATTATGAAGTTGAAGGCTGAGCTCCACCATACTTATTCTTGCTAGAAATCCCCACTTTTGATGTCAGTCCCTTCACTTAACCTTTTCAGTGATTGAGGCAAGGGAAGACAGTACTAATTGAAAAAAGTAAGATGGACATTGTTCGAGAGAAAACATGAAACAAGCTGTGATGTTTCTGAAGCTTGAGATATAATGCTAAATGTGAGACAAAATGGAAAAAAAAACAGAAGAAAGCAAGCAGAGAATTACAGATCATTAACAACACCCACATATTAATTATCAGCTAGAAAGACATAGGATTTTCCATTTTGAAATCATGTAAGTAGGCTATCAGCTATAACTTCATGGTTGTATATCAGCTATCAGCTACACAACCATGCTATCTCACCATTGCTTTAATTGCACCTGATTTCTGTGAATTAGAATTCTGTTATGACCATGAAGTCAATGCCCTCTAGTGTATCTCTGTGTTCACTGTATGGCAGAGCAATTCCACATACATATTTTTTTTTAGAGGTTATGCGGTATTTACACATATTTCTGAACCTACTTGCTTCCTTAATATCAGAATACACCTGAAGGAGAATGATGGAGACTATTATGTGCATTTCTTATCCAAATAAAGTGCACCCTAGATTTAAATCTCTCAACTATATCTCATGCTTCTTTCTACCCCACTCCTAACTCCCAGCCCTACTCAGCCCACCTGACTCCTCTCCTTTTTGCATAATATCCCCAGAAACCTCCTTTAAGTCAGGGAGTTTAACTGAGGACAGGCAAGAAAGAAAAATCCAGCTTATACCTCAGAGCAGAGTTACCAACTCATCTACTCACCAAACCAATTTAAAAATACATTCAAAATAAGCAATGTACAAGCAAAAGACATGGCAAGGAAATTTCTGCAACCATTCAGTGAACAATCTAGATAGAAAAGTATAAACTAGACAAAAAAAGTCTGAGTTCTAGTACTAGATTTTATGAGTAATTCTTCTGTTAGTATGACTGCTGTCTAAACATTCCTGGTTCACTCCACATTTAGATCAAACCTGAAAGGATTTCTAGGTGTCCTTGCAGCTCCTGAGGTTCCTTGCTAGTGGGCTGCACTAGCAACAGCTAGGGGACTGATCAAAATGACTCTTCATTTGGCATTTGAGCAACTTCATTTAGAGTGCTGTATCCAGTACAAGAAAGACATTTGTATGTATACAGAAGCAAGTATATTAGGCTGTGGATGCCCCATCCCTGGAGGCATTCAAGGCCAGGCTGGATGTGGCTCTGGGCAGCCTGGTCTGGTGGTTGGCAGCCCTGCACACAGCAGGGGGGTTGAAAACAGATGATCATTGTGGTCCTTTTCAACCCAGGCCATTCTATGATTCTATGATTGAGTGTAACAATGCCACCAAGACTGCTGGGAGCTGGAGAATATCATGGATAAGAGGCTGAGAGACTGGGTTTGTTCAGCCTTGAGAAAATACAGATAAGGCACGACCTTTCTGCTACCTACAGCAGACAGAAACAGACTATTCCACATGATGACAGGACAAACATGCAAGAGAGAGAAATTCAAGAAATTCTTGTTAGATATTAAGGAGAAAAAGAAAGTTCATCCTGATGGTGGTCAGATACGAGAAGAGGCCACCCAGAGGGGCTATGCAATCTCTCTCTGGAGATATTCCAAACTCAAATAGACAAGGACACAAACAATTTGATCTAACGCTGAACTTGGATCAAACCTTAAAAGTTGGCTCTACATTGGGGTTGCACTGCCTGTGGTTCCCTGAAACCTAAATTACTTAATGAGCCTGAAACTTAAATAAACAAACAGAAAAGCATTAGCAGAAGTGCTGCATTTCAAAATGGAAGTAACTGCCAGGGCAGTGGAAACTATACAACATCTTCACCTTTGATTACAGGGGAATGCAAAAACCACTGCCCAACAGTTTTTTTTCCCCACAACTCAATGGTGCGTCACAGAAGACAAGCTTTTACTTACCAAACTGCCCATCACACTTTATAAACAGTTCAATTACACCATAGGCAATAGTGGTTGCAGGAGGAATCTCGAGAATCACGCTGGAATCCTTCATCATACTTCCACTGTCACTCACTGAAACCTAAAAAACATTAACATTATTTCATTCAGCTGTTGTGCAGCTTAAACACAAAAATGAGTAAGGAAAAAAAATGGAGAAAGGACATGCTTCATGATGTCTAACCCACAGTACACATCTGACATCTGAAAAAAGAACAAAATGAGCAGCAAGGTAGGAGCACCAAAGTGGCATATGCAGGCCTCAAACTTAGCCATTCTGTTCAAAGTTGAGTCCTGGGTGCAGCTTTTGCCATATGAAGCTCTGTCACCAAAACTGGCATGCTCTTTGGTATCATGCCCTACCCTCTCCTATCCTGATATCCCTTTGCCCAACTGGTAACTGGTGCCAGGAAGATGGCACTTGTACAGTGTTGCTGAAATGCATTTCCCAGGTGTCTGCCACTCAAGACTTCTGTACACAGAAGTGATTTGTCATATCTTATGACTTTGTGAATTGAGAAGAAATTGCCAATGTCCTCACTATGCAGTTAACCTCTACTCCCACGATCAAAAATACAGTAGTTTCCCAAGAAATATTATTAAACTTGCTAACACTGCAAACATTTCTGATAAATCATTTCTTTGCTGTTCAAATGAATTTGCTTCAGTAATGCTTTCTGCTCTTCAACTTTCACTGAACTGTTGGTTTATGTTTGCTGTAGACAGGATTCTACACAGAAACTGAATCATAAGGTTGTAACAGTGATGGAAATGCCACTTCCACACTAAGAGATGACATCTTTTGCCTGTGAGGAATACATTTTACATTTGTAAAGTTTCACAACTAAGTAATAATGTAGTGAGTTCTTGCAATTGACAGAGTTCAAAACGTTAAAGAAAAATACTCTGAAATCTACTTGGCATAGAGAAACCAACTGCTACGCAGATAATCTGCAGATTTAACGAGACAAATGTTCTATTCCTTACAGATTTAATACATTTTACCTGTATTATCTTCATACTGCAACCCAGCAGACCGCTGACTTTTTCTTCTGTCTGGATATGTTCAGAGATGGTACACCTTTGTGTTGTTATTATCTTTTCCCTCAAGATGCACAGTACTTCACGTTTTCGTTCTATTACTTGTTGCAGTAAACTACTATTTAAATTTATCATTCTGAAACAAAAAAAGACACCATTAACAACAAATACCAGAATGGAAAAAACACACGTTCTTTTGTTTCAAGAAGCTTTTATGAAAAAATAACAATGGTTTCTGTTTGAGCAATCTGCACAAAATAATTATGTCCTCTTTCGTTATTTGTAGCAGCAAGACTGTAAATGTCAGTACTATGCAGCAAGCCCTAATATACATATTGAATTCCTGACTTCCTCCTCCAAGGAGAAATGTCATCTGGCTACCTTCTAAGCAATAATTTGATTAAAATATCTCCATTATGTTATACTTCTGCAAAATACCCACCAGAAAGGTCCTCACATGAGATGAAGTATTTTCTATGAGCAGAGAACTCCAGCAAGACATCTGGAAGGTCAGAAGATTGCCATCCCTGGCTGAAGTCTTTTTTTTTCCTCTATTTTACTGAAGTGGCTATTCATGAGGCTACACGGCAATTCTCCAAAAATATGACAGAAAGACTCCACTTTATTTAAATCAAGATATCTCCACTTTTAATTAAAAAGTTTTAGATTTATTACACTCTGGAGTTTACGTGGTCCATAAAAGCCTGAAGTCAGCTTGGCTCTTTATTAAATTAAAAATATCCTGAGGCAATTTTTGATCTTTGGAGAGTTACATGCTTATATGAAAGTTCAATCAGTTGGAATGAACTGTCTGGAAACCTTAAAGTTGATTGTTTAAACACAGGAAAGAAAATACCTCTGAAGCAATGCAGCAGCCACTAGAAAAGTACCCCCAAACATTCCTCAGATTATTAACAGAACTTCCTTTCTTTTGGTGAAAAGCCATGCTTTATGCTTGGAATGCAATGAATCTTTGGATTAAGAGAAATTGAAGAAATGTCACGCAATCACAAACACTGCCATTCTTAGAAGCATCTGCCAAACTGCAGCTATTAATTACACTGTATCTTGCAGAACACCATCAAGCCTATCATATACTTCACAATAATTATTTATGACTCTGAAGAGGTGTGCTAGGCACACTGAAAACATAAATTAAGGCAGAGAGAGCTTGCAATTTTAATATACGACCTAAGAAGCCACAGGTGAAGAAATATAATGAAGAAACAAGTACAAAGGCAATCTGTCACTTGCTTTCTTATGATGTATTTTTTGCCTGCTTTAGAGCATGATAAGCCAAATACTGGAGCAAAAGACACAAAACATTCAAAGACAGAAAATAAAACAGAGGTTTGCTGTTTCTGAATGAGCATGAAAAAGCAGTGAGGCACTGGAATGGGCTGCCCATGAAAGCAGTGGAGTCACTTCCCTTAGAGGTGTGCAACAACAGTGAAGATGAGGCACTGAGGTACACAGTCAGTGGACATGGTGGGGATGGGTTGACAGTTGGATTAGATTATCTTGCAGGTCTTTTCCAACCTTAATGATTCTATGACCCCAGGAGGCATATCCAAGCCTGATTTAATCATATCCAAATGAATGACCAAAATAATTTGGACGCTTTTTCTTCCATTTATTTCCACAGTATTCTTTCTGAGATAAATCTGTCTCAGACCTCCTCACACTCCTGGCTCTGAAGTTCAGCTGAAGAACCAACAGCAGAGCAGTGACGCGAGTGCCTCAGAAGAGATGGCTGAACTCACAGTATGGGTCAGTGAAGAAGTTTCTGAGTGGCTGCTGGATGAGCCACAGCAACCACACTGGTCACAGGCCTGCTTCAGTCCCCAGGGCAGTAGGCCTCCAGGGACACTGCCTCAGAGGTGATTCCAGGTCACTCACATGCAGCTGCATTGCATGCCAGAAGCATGGCCACAATCTCAGGTCAAAGTGATGTCAGTGGGATGTGTTCAGCTGTAAAGTTGGCAGAAATGCCTCTTCCCATTGCATTTTGAGAATGTAGGATGGAGAGTTTTAAAACACATACCCTTACAAACAGTCAGACCTTTTCTTTCAAAACTCCTTCCATGACTTCCATGACCAAACTTTCTTCCCTAGATGCACTCAGGCCCCAGTGTTATATATGAGGGCACATCAAAGGTATCACAGCATGGCCTGGGAAAGGCAGAACACTCTGTCCTCCTCACAGGAAGGCACAGGACAGTGACTCAAACAGGAGACACCATGAGATAAACAAGTAACTGGCTTATCTAAATTAGTATTGAAAATAGTCACTGAGGGCAAACTGTAACAAGGTTAAAGTTTGACCATAAAAGCAAGGCTGAAAGTATCACAGGGCAATGGCTGCTCTATCTGAATGTATTTTTGCAAGGGCTGAACTCATTTGCTAGCATAACACTGTGAATATCAAGAAGAGCTGGATGAGTGGGGTAAATCCCTGAGAACACGGCCACGCAGATGCATGGAAGTGATTGCTTTCTTTTATTTTGCACATCACATTTTGGAGCTCTTATTCCTGCCCTGCATCACTCTTCCCATCTCTTTGACCATCTATTGCATAGCAATCCTATGTGGGTTGTACTGAACTCATTCCTCACTTGAGAACCTAAGCTAAGGTACACAAAAGGAAACACTATGCAATAAAATTAATGCTGATTTCCTATTATCAACACACACAGTATAAGTAGGTATAAAAAGACCAATTCAAAAGGTAAGGATTATGGGGTTTTTGTTTCATTATTTGTTTTTCTCAAATAACCTTCCTGAGGTCAATGATTTACTATCCCTGTCAAACAAGAGCAGAAAATTAAAATTCTGGTCTCACTTCATATCTAATTGGATTTAACATTTTCACTAACCTATACTGCAAAGGCTTTTTTCACTTTTATTCAGTTTTTTTTTTTTTCCTTCTTGGATGAGGAGTGGAGAGAGAACTGTCACAAAGGCAATTTGCTGCAAGTGATAAACAGGAAAGGAGAACGGCAGAAAGCAACAGAAATAAGAGAAAGCAGACAACACCTAGCACCACAGCAGGCTCTCTCAGTTTGTCTCACACTTCTCAAACTCAGAGCTGAGACCTCCTTCTTCCCTCGGGGCATACATCTCAGATTGGACTAGGCACAAAGAATGTTTGCTAGAACCGTTTCTCCACCAAAACCTATTTAGTTTTCTCAGTAACCTATCCCACAAATCCCCCAAGTAAGGGGAATTGCCCAAACATCACTTCTTCCTTGACACCCACACCATGTGGATGTTTTCCCTTCAAAACATCTCTCAGCTGCTTTGCCAGAATTCCTCCGCTTGTTTGGTCTTCCTCACTTCTATCAGCAGTCTGACTTCTTCCATCCAACTGCTGTTTGTTGCAGTGTCAGCCCTTACTCTGCTTTGTTCCTTTTCAGGTAAAGACCTCTAGATCAGCGCCAGAGAGTAAAATCCACCAAAGCTTCACTCTGCACTTAACACCAAGCAGAGACAGGTATTTCTTTTGTTAATCTGTTTCAGACATCACCTCTCTGACCAACTTCTGCTCCTACCAGAACCCAGTATTTGCTGTAGTCAGCTTATTGATGGCATTTCACAATTTTTCCTACAGAATAACCTGACAATTACTTTACAGAACAAGTTGCTCAAGAATACCAAATACTCTTGAGTACTACTGACAGACAGTTCCTGTGATCTTATTCAGCATCTTCCTTATGTTTTAAATAACAGACACACAACTGATTTTATTCAGCACTGTCTCATAACCGTGACTTCGTACAACTGATGTAGCACATTAAAGAAAACTGATGCATGGCTCTCTCATCATACTCATAAATTCTTGAGGAGTTGTTATGAATAAGTAACAAAAGGTGTGCATCAGAATGAGACTGCAAGAATGCCTGGACAGGCCAAGCCAGTGAAAACTGGGTGAGAGCATGACTAGTTAGTGGGCTGAATTTTTATCATAGTCACATCAGGAACAGGCATCTATTTCTGTCTCACTGTGAACAACACTAATTGAATCAACGAAAGTACAAAATAAAAGGCAATCTGTAATAGTACAAAAATATTTATTTTCAACTGTGCCATATTTTATTACTATTTATCCTGTTTTTCTAATATGCTAATGAGTGTTAGGAATCATTCACTGGAGATGACAGAAGTGTGAATGGCAAAAAAAGCCTTCTGCATCTGATGTGCACCAAATGCCTGCCATTTGCTGCCACTTCATCCTATTTCTTTCTCTTCTGTCACTGTCCTCGCAAAGCTTGTTTCCAACACCTAACACAACTTCATGAGATGGTAAAAGCAAATGAATGAATGGAATTCTCTGCTAGAGCAGACTGCCCACTGCTCTGTCATCCACACAGTTAAAGCCTGTGCCTGGCAGTCAAGCAGAGCCTCCTCTGTTTCAGTTTGTGCCCACTGTCTCTTGTCCTGTCACTGGGCACCACTGAAAGGAGCTTGGCTCCATCTTTACACTCTCCCTTCAAGTATTTGTTCACTTTCATGAGAATCCATCCTCAGCTGAGCCTTCTCTTCTCCAGGATGAACAGACCCAAGTCTCTTAGCCTTTTTTCAGTGGAGACACACTTCTGTCCCTTCAATATCTTTGTGGCCCTTTGTTGGACTCTCTCCAACAAATCCACATCTCTCCTTACTGGGCAGACAAGAACGAGACACAATACTTTAGTCACAATAATGCAGTCCCCAAAACGTACTGGTGCATATGAGGTTACCCCTCCCCACGCACAGAACTTTGCACTTCTTGTTGAACTTCATGTGGCTTTCGTCAGCCCATTTCTGTATCTTGTCAAGGTCCTTCCAGATGGCATCACAACCCTCTGCTCTATCAGCCACTCCTAGCAACTGGGTGTTGTCAGCAAACTGTCTGACCTTGTAGCACTGATCACCCTCCACCGGGACCAACTGTTCAACCACCCTGCTCATCTATCCATTCTTCATCAGCCTCACTGTGAGGATCTTATGGAAGAAGGTACTGATAGTCTTAAAGAAGATAAAATATACTCTTAAATCCACAGCAATCTTACCAAGTTAAATGCATAAGACTGCCCTAAACTCAGTCTGTTTCAGTACTTTGAACTAGATACAACAAGGTAATACAAATGGAAAGAATAATGCACCACAAAATATATCACGATCATACTCCTAATAGAACCCTTTATTTCTGTACTGCATACTATGTTAATAGGTGCATTCTGCATTCAGAATGTCACTGCTTTTGCAAATCAGGTGGGATCTCATCCCACACCCTTCAGCTGTCAGCCCCGTTCTGAAAAGGAGAGCCAATGCAGTATCTGGAATCTAATTAAAGATCAGCAGGTTTCTCCTTTATAGGGCTCACCTGAGAAGCAATAGGAAACCAATTTGCTGCCATTCAGCACTTCAGTTTTCAGAATTTTGAAGGCTCCCATGACTTGGTAGAGAAGCTTTATCAGCATTAACGTTTTTTAACATGTCTTTTATGCTATTTATATGCAACCTTGACTTAAATAAACTAACAATTCCTACTGTATTTTAATTAGGTTATAGAAATAATAAGGAAAATAATAATTGCTCTAAAAAGCACAAGCAATATACATCATTAGATGAAATCAAGAACACTTAACTGACTCTCATCCCACAAGGACTGACTAGTAAACATAAGTACCATAATGCTTTGCATCCAAAATCACTTGCTTCCAAGCACCACCATTCCCAAATGCTGAATTCTGCAGCATGATCCACAGAGATGACAAACGCCAGAAGCCACGGACAGGATCTCCCATAAATCATAGAATATTAACAAATTAGTAACTAGACGTTTTTTGTAAGGAAATGATACAATTTCCAGTGGGAAATGTTATCCAGTAAGCCCAGCTTCTGCATATCAATCATACGGTTCGTATTGTAAATTTAAAATAAGCTGTGAGCATAGAACTCGCTGTGTGAACTAAGGATCTTGCTCCTTGTATAGAGGTGCACACACACTGAGCTGGATTGTTTCACTGCCACAGCCTCTAAGCACCCCAGTGGGATTGTGTACATGCCTACCTTCTTCATAAGAAGTCAGCATTTCAGTGTGTTTCCAACTCCAGCATACAAACAAACTGCAGATCTCTTCCAAGTCCTTACACAAACAAGTAACAAGATTCTAAGTCCTGGCTGATGGTATTTTTTTGATAGTGGATGAATACTACTTTTACAGGCCTGGTATACACACTTAGCCCAGATATTTTTTGCTTTTAATAAGGCATTTTGTACAAAGATAGCAAGGCACCTTTTTAAAACAAGTTGGGTGACTTGGGAATGCTTAAGAGAGAAATAATATCTGGCTCTCATTTCTGTGAGAACAGGAAATCAAATGTTTCTAGACCACCAGTGGTACTAAAGAAAATTACACTGCTTCCAATAACTTTTGCACTGACATCAAAAAGTTATCATCCATATCTTCAGAGGATCAAAGGCTATCAAGATGTGTTACACCACCTCCTACAGACAATGCTGTACAACACTGCCACAAATGAACCACCTTCAACTCCCCTAAGGCAGAACTCCACTACAGAGCAGACCTCTGGCTTCTCAGCTGCTTGCCAGGTAGGCTTCTGCTCATGACTTACTTCAAAGGCAATCAGATTTCAGAGGAGCACACAAAGTGTTGCATATTTTCTACAATTAAAATTATCATTTGGAATATCTGTTCTTTTCCTCTGTTATTACAGTGTATAGCAGTGATCAATGGTTCTGTGAACTGTATTTTGTTCAACAATTAGAATGTACATTGATCACACCTACTCAACTTTTCCTCTTAATGTTTTCTACAAAAATATAGTAAAATTCTAAAGCTTCCATACAAGAATACTGGTAGTTCTGAATTCAGTTTCCACAGTATTTATCTCAGTAACATACTGGAGTTAAACCACTCCTTTCCTCGTTCAGTAGAGTCCCCCAAAGCAGGGGGGACTTGATCCTTGTTTCACCTGGCAATTTATGCCAACGTTCAAGGTGAAATTGCAGAGAGATGTTTATGAAATGAAAAGGAAACATCTGACCACCAAGATTTCAAAATCTGGAAACTTTCATTGGTGCGTTGCATTTTTCACCTACAAATGAGAGTTTACAATGAAAATAATTCTTGAAATATGCCAACGCTACAGAATGAGCTGTTCAGTGATCACAGCTGACACAAGTATTTTATCTAATCTTTTTCATCTCAGTCATCTTTCTTGGCCACTGCAATGCCCGCATTTAAAACCTACCTGTCCTTGACGTCCTTCATAAGCTGCTGCAAGTCAACCTCCTGTTTCCTCAGGTTCCCAAAAGAGGACTGGCTTTCCACACAGCCCTTTGCTCCAGCTCCCAGGCTGATCTTTCCAAATGAAGTTTCAATACTTCCTTGGACAACATCTTCAAATTTTCCCTTGTATTTTGCAAAGTCAGATTCCACAATTACTAGGAAAACAATAAAGGTAATTGCTTACCACTAAGACAAGTGCTAAAATAGTCCTGAAGTCATCAGATAAACAAAAAGTTAAGGGAAAACACAAAGATTTAATGTCAATGAAGGCAAGAACAGCAATGAGCAAGTAAACAGATAAGTTTACAGCTCTGCAACTTCTGCTTCCTCTGTGTTTTCATCTTTGATTACCGTTTATGTTTTGCCATCTTAGGAAAACACCTGAGGAGTCAAATACTGAACTCAAACACTAAAGAGCACTAAAAAGACTTATAAAGCATGATAGAAATTTACTTCAGCTACAAGGAAAAACTGAAGTATACCTGCTTGTGCAACAGACGTAATATTCTGCCATTATCTCTACATATCTCATAACAAGCCTGTCCCAAAGCTCACTGAAAATCAATGGAAATTTTGAATTGGCTTAAATCAAAATCTGAGTCTCAAATGCCTAAAAATCAAAGGACAGTCTCAGAATCAGCTAATTTTCCATGTTAGTCACAATTAACATCTATGCTGAAAGACTTGTTGTTTGTCTACCTTCAGAATTATGACATGCCCAGAAATATGGGATTCCAGATCATTGCTCCTACTAGCTGGTGAGGTCTGGTGCAGCTGGATGGTGAAATAAGTACAAGGATCAAATATTTTTAACAGTCTCTGCAAGAAGAAAGGAAGCCACAATAAAACTTGTAATCATTCTCTGGGCTACTATCACCAGCCCTTGTCCTGTGCTTTTTCACCTGGAGCACAGTACAGTTTCATGCCATTATTATGTACCAGAAACTTCCCACAATAATCCAGGGGAGTTCCTGAGGCTGCAGAGAGCAGCGTTACAAATACCAACACTGTATGGCTTGACAACCTTCAGCACTCAATTGCAGTAGCCCATCTAGATTTTTTAAAATTAAATATTTAATAGTACTGTTATTAGCTAAACAAATAGCCAAGTGAGAAAAAAATCCACTCATCTCAGTTCTAAAGATGGAGAATAATTCAAAGCAAAGAAGCCCTCTAGTAACAGGACTGAGAATAACAATGAAAAAAGGTAGGCTTTGTATTCTTTTCATGTGCAGTAACAGTGCTGCCCGCCTTAACAGCTTTACCTGGTTTTATAGGTTTGTCTTCAGTAAGCACATCACTCAATGAGACTGCCAAGAAATGATACTTGGGCTTCTGCCAGCACCAGAATTTCTTCCTCTTTGTAACTAAGCTCAGAAGCTGCAGCTTGTCTGAGGCATTCAAGTGGGAGACAGGGATCAAGTCACCTCCACTGTCTGTTTCTCTCACAAAATTCCTTGTTGCTTTTGCAAACATCTTGGTGAATCATCTACAGCCTGAAAGAATAAATATGTTTTTCAAAACTACAGTCAGAAGATACAAATATTTACATTTGCACTTTAAGGAGGTCTTCACAGTGCTGGTATTAATACAGGAATACTCTTTTCACTCCACCTTCTCCACTCTAAGCTGGGAATTGTGACAGTTACCACCATTTCCCCAAAAGGTTTTCACAGTAACCGATGATGGAATTTTGGGTGAAAATTTAAATAAGCAACAGTGAATAAGTATACAACAGTGCACTGCAAGCATGATATAGAAGACTTAACCACTGCAGTAATCCTGAAATTTGTGAGCACGCAAATAATGAAGAAATACATAAGAAAAGAAGCAACCCAATTTAAAACTGAAAAAATCCTTGAAAGAACATCCACAGGTAATTAATCTGTTAGGGAGGAAAAACTACACAACTTACCTGAAGTTCTAAGAAAAAGCATCTCCTGACGAGTACCCTGCAGAGACTCACTGGGCTCACAGGAACACAGGTGCAATGGCAGAGCACTCCTTCCTCCCCACAAGCTCCTTTTACGACCTGCCATAAAAATCACCTTACTCCATAGAAGATAACTGGGTATTATTCATACAGATTATCTTGTTTTAACAGTCTGTAAATACATACATGGATAATAGAAATTATTCCATAGAAAGCAACAAATATTTCTACTGGCAGCACTGTGACTAAGTTTTCTTTCTGAACTTCACCCACGGAAAATCCCAATTCATATTTTTTTCTTTTGAACTTTTTTAAATCTTCAGTGCTTTCCAATTTTCTATTTCCCATTAACAGAACTACAGCTAAACAGAACATATGTTGCTTGCAAATGTTACTTACATCTGCTGAACAGCTACTTACATTATCTTATTCTAGCTTTTAAATGGCAGTATTTTTAACTTTAAGACATTTTTTCTCGTGTAAGGTTTCCTTTATCCCACATGATGTACTGTGCTATTTACACAACAAGAAAGTTTTTCAATATGAGAAACTGGCTAAGTGCATGGGAGAACTGATAAAAATGACCACTCAGAAGTGCTAAGCATTCAATTATAAAAATCGACATTTTCAACCTTACAATAATTTTTCAGTTGTTTTATTTGATCTGGTGGCATTTCCACATTTTTTTTTTCAGTTGGCAGCATTCCTTTGTACCCTCCAGCTGATGGGCATAAGCTGCCCCAGGTGCCCATTTCTCTTCTTTGAAATAGGGCACACACACATTCTCCATTAATCACCTGTCCTGCTCAAACAGATGCTGGATTTGTCCATCACAAACACAGGCCAGAATAAGCTAAGGCAGGCTTCAAAGGAACGAACAGGAAAAGATATTGTAGTTGACACTTAAGACTGTGGGAAAATGGAAAAGTGAGTAAAGATATTAGTGGCTGGACTATAGGGTTTTACTATCAGCTGGGGGAAAGAAAAAAACTACTCTTTATAGATAGAAACTCAGCTTTCCATTAGCTTTTCCCAAATCCCATTTCAGATAATATTTCATGCAGTATTTACCAATTCACACTGAGATAGCTACCTTCCTATGAAATCTCCATGGCCTACTCTTAGTTCTCCCCATAAACAAGCAAAGGGCATTACTCAACAGCACCTGCAGGGAAAAGATTTGAAGAATGCCATTCTATGCTTCCAACACTTTGCTGAAGTCCTCTCATTGTAAACTGGGGCTGCAACAAACTTGGAGCTACACTGGGAGTATTTCCACTGACTTCCAGGTCATTAGCTGCTGTCATCCAGCATAACCTCCTTCAAACATTCCTGTGCTTTATGCGATTGCTCACTCATTCTGATCCCATTCCCACATAATGGACTCACATTCGTATTCTCTTAAGTGAAAAAGGCCCACCAATTTCTAAGGAGCTCACAAGAAGAGAAATTACAACAAAAAGTTCTTACGATTTGTCTTTCTGTTACACTCTCACTAAACTTCATGAGAAGAACCAGTGACACTACTCTATAAAACTTCATTCTGATTCATGGTGGTTTGACTTCGCTCCCAGCAATGAGGCTTCTGATGGGCAAAAAGAACATCTGGGAAAGATCACAGAGAGCTTATGAAAACTGCAGAGGCTCAGAGGGCAGGAGAGAGATTCAGCCTTCAGCCACAGGTGTTGATGACAACATTAACACCTTCTATCCTGGGAACATCTCTGCAAGGAGCTTACTTGCTGGTGCAGCAGTACCTGCAAAGTATTAATAGTCTATCCAAATTATCTCTTTGTGCATAGTTTCTCTAACATAAACTCTCAAATGCATTCCAGTATCTTGTTTCACTAGCTCACAAAAGGACAAAGAGACAGTGGTAATTCCCCATGGTCAACATCAGGGAGATAATACAGGACTGAGGGCATCCTGACCACATGGTCACAGATGTAGCACTAAGACAATTCTCCTTTTGGTTCCTTGCTCTGAAGTTTTGTTGAACCAGGTTTGATTTGCCAGACCTAGAAGGAAAGGTATGAGAGCTGGTAGGAAAGGCCTGAATTCACTCCTGCAGATTGACAGCTAGGTGTGAAGGCGGGAAAGGAAGGAGTAGGCTCCTTGCCCACTGAGAAATTTAAAATTAGCCTGAACCTGAGCTACAGGCAGATTATTCAATGAAGAGGATGAGAACAAGCAAAGATATTTACAGCAACTCCATCACTTATTGCAGCCGTAAGGAAACGCGTTGGAAGGCTGACGCCTGCAGACAGCCACGCAAAGGACTTTGGCTGACCGTGTGCCACCATTCACATCCTCAAGAACGGCAAAATCGTGGAACTATGAGTTGAAGGGCCCTTTAAAGGCCATCTGGTCCAACTCCTCTGCAACTAGCACACAGCCCCATCAGCCAGGACTCACACTGAAAGACGCCTAAAGTGAGCAAGCGATGACAAGCAGTAAACGGATCATATCACAAAGCCTTATTTTCTTCTCCTTTCTAGATAATTCAAACAAAAAGCCATAAAATCCCAATGCTTTCCAATCCCTGACCGGGCGGTGCCAGCCCGGGCCTGACCCGAGACCGGGCGAGGCGCCGGCCAGGAGGAGCGGGCAGCCAAGCGCCAGGCTTCTCCCCAAACACCGCCCATGAACTGCGGCGATTCATCACCAGTTTTGTGTGAGGATTTTGCTGGTTTTTCCTCCCCCCCCTCAAAAGAAGCCGGAGAGCACACGAGCAAACAGAGACGGCCTCGGGCTCTCAGTCAGAGCGGGCTGAGCGCGCCCCGCCCTCCCGGCGGCGAGCAGGGCGCAGCGGGGCACCGCCCGCCTTACCGCCCCCCCGCGTCCGCACCCGTACTCACGGCCGCTCCGGCGAACCCCGAAGATGCGGTGCTCCGCGCCCCAAGGCGAAGCTCCGCCAGGAGCCCGGAGGAGCGCCGAGAGGAGGGGGCTTCGGGCCAGCGATGAGGCGCGGCGAGGCCGGGCGGCAGCGCGGGGGCGGGCGGGGGGAGCAAGGCCCCGCCCGGCGCGCGGAGGGGGCGCGGGGCCTCGCGGCGCCGCCATGTTGTCGCCCAGCACGTGGCTGTGGGATGCTGCCGTTGTCCAGAACAAAATGCCGTAGGGATTGCAGTAGCGCTCATCCAGGGAGACCTTTATGAGCCTATAAAATAACGTTCTTCAAGTTCTTGAACGTATCAAAGCATCAAAGAAGTATTTTTGAGTGAGCCGTGCCACGAGCTGGGTCCTTATGTTCCCGTTTATAGAGAGCATTTGGGCGAGCAGCCACAAGTGTTGAATCACCAGCTCTTAACGGAGTAAAGCCCGGCTGGTCTTTGGAAGGAGAGGAGTCTGAAAGGTGGATGTCTTGAAATGAGCACTCCTGGGTGAGAAGTACTGCTTAGTGTTCATAGCTGAAGTCATACCCATTTCTTCCACTGTGTTAACTACATACCTTATCCAAACCCTCCAATTAGCTTCAGTGGATTTTAACCTATAAACCCTTTCCGATTCCCATAAATGACATCCTACCCAAACTCTAACGCTTTATTTTCTCCAGGAAATATTCCTTTCTTCTCTTCCAAGGAAGGGCAGTGGAGCTGTGAAGGGTCTGGAGCACAAGTCTAATGGGGAGCAGCTGAGGGAACTGGGGTTGTTTAGTGTGTAGGGGTCAGCGTCTTCTGCCAGGTAACAGCAACAGGATGAGAGGTAATGGCATTAAGTTGTGCCAAGGGAGGTTCAGGTTGGATGTCAGGAAGAAAAGGGTATATTTCAAGACAAGAGTAGATGTCAAACTGAGTGATGTAGTCTGGAGTGGTCACAGGGATGGGCTGATGATTGCACTAGATGATCTTAGTGGATCTTTCCAGCCTTAACAATTCTGTGATCCTCAGTGAATCAATGATAAATAGATCTCTTATGCTGTACCCACTTTCAGAACTTTTAACAAAAAACCTGAATGTAACTAAGTATCTGCATATGTGACAATTTACTTTTTATGAAAAGGAAAACTCTGCTTCTTGAGCCTCATACTGAGAAAAGCACCTCCAAGTCCTCAGGAGATCTCTTCTTAGGGTCAGTGCCGAGCTGCAGAATTACTAGCTCCAGGCATAATCTCCAATAGCCAGTAAAAACACGTTTCATTAACAGTCATGTGCTTTTCTAAGGAGTGGCAGTGTGTGATTCATTTCCAATGCAAGTGTCTGCTCAAGCAGATTTTGAGAAATCAGGCCAGGAAGTGACACTGAAACACATTGCCATGGAAATGTTCGCTAGGGAGGGAGGAGGCAAAAACAGTGAAACTTGCCAGTCAGCTCAAGGAAGTTACTGATGGTTAAGTGTGCGCAAAGTAAGGGGTGTCTGCACCAAGGATATTTCCACGTTTTCAAGAGAAAACATCAAACAGACATCTTTTATCCACTTAAGAGACACAAGCCAGCATAAGATAGTTTTAAGCTGCCTCCCGTTAATTAGAAGAGACAGAAACAGGTCTGGACACTAACAGTTTTGAGGCCGTGCAGCAATTAACGTAAAGGCTTCAAACAGTGATATTGAAACTGGCTGCAAGTGGGAGACATTTAGGATTGAATACCTGCCTTGATCTTCCATTATTCATTTCCATTAATAATGAAGGATGAAAGTGATGAGAACCTGGAGATGAGCCAGCAATGTGCGCTTGAAGCCCAGAAGGCCAACTATATCCTGGGCTGCATTAAAAAAGGGGTGGCCAGCAGGGAGAGGGAGGTGATTGTCCCCATTTACTCAGCTCTTGTGAGGCCCCATCTGGAGTACTGCATCCAGGCCTGAGGCTGCCAGTACAGGAAGGACGTTGGAGCTCCTGGAATGGGTCCAGAGGAGGGCCACTAAGATGATCAGAGGGCTGGAGCACCTCTCCTATGACAGAAAGTTGAGGGAACTGGGCTTGTTTAGTTTGGAGAAGAGAAGGCTCTGGGGAGACCTTACTGTGGCTTTGCATTACTTGAAGGGAGCGAGCGTATAAACAGGAGGGGGAACAGCTGTTTACATGCGTGATAGTGAAAGGACAAGGGGGAATGGTTTTAAACTTAAGAAGAGGAAGTTTTTCACACAGAGGATGGTGACGCACTGGAACAGGTTGCCCAAGGAGGTTGTGGATGCTCCATCCCTGGAGGCATTCAAGGCCAGGCTGGATGTGGCTCTGGGCAGCCTGGTCTGGTGGTTGGTGACCCTGCTTATGGCAGCGGGGTTGAAACTAGATGATCTTTGAGGTCCTTTTCCACCCAGGCCACTCTGTGATGATTCTGTGATGATACTCTTCAGATATGTAGCACAGCCAAAACTCACAGCATATAGCTTTGTCCTGACTGACTGGGGAGCCAGCAGTGAGAACACAGTATGGGAAATGCATGTGGTAAATGTGTTCTGTGTTAAGATCTGTCTGTCATGTGCTGAATGTCTGGAGCTGAGACATGAAGTGCATCAGTTACATGTTGGAAGATTCTTTTGCATTGGCACTGTATTAGAAGATCTTTATGTAGAACGGACAGAAGGAGAAAAACAGAAAGTTTTGCTTGTGTGACAAACAGCCTTTGGCACTGCACAAGATTTGGCTATCTTATTTGACTAGAGTAGGACAGACAATTGACACATGAACTTCACAGCCTCAACTTAAAAAATGAGTAACACACAATTACGGGTGAGTAATTACTCGTATAGAATGGCTTAGGTTGAAAAGAACCTTCAAGATTTTGTTGTACTAAGGGATGTGGTTTAGTGGGATAGGTGGATGGTTGGACTGGGTCATCTTGGAGATCTTTTCCAACCTTGGTGATTCTATGATGCTTTGATCATCTAGTTTTTACCCCCCTGCTGTGGTATCAGGTTTTTCCACCCTCTAGATCAGGCTGCCAAAAGCCCTGGCAACCAGGGCTTGAATGCCTCCAGGGACAGTGCTGCCATAACCTATCTTGGCAACATCTTTTGATGCTGTTGCTCCTTCACAGAATGCCACTGGATTGATCAGGTACTTTCCATATTTTGGAAACTGCAGAAAATTGCCTGCCTTTGGTTAATGCACAACAATCTACTAATACAGTATGTGACAGACCCAGAAATGTTACATGCTTTAATTAGGGGATTTTTGTGCACTCTCTGACCAAGACAGAGGGGAGCTCCCCTTGATACAGTATGGGGAGAAGTAGTGCAAGAGTTAGTTAATTATGGGAGACTCATGGGATTTGCTAGCCAAGAGGAAACAAAATTTAGGATGGAGGCCAGAAGGGTTGAGGGAAATGGGAAGATGAAAATAATAATTTTGAATAGTTTTTTACAACCCCTAGCGGAAGCCAGCATGACCTCCTGATAATAAGAGAGAGATACTATAAGTGGAAGGCATTTGTGAAAAAATTCCTTGGAAGGTTAATGGATGGTTTACTCTCTATCACTCTAGAAAAACTGATAACTACTTGCAGCAAGATAAAAGGGGATTATCTCCCCAAAATGCAACTTAGTTTGAAAGGAAAAAAACAAACAAAAAAAGCAAACAGTAGTTGTGTGCTCTTACTGTACTTCTGTGAAATTCCTCAGTCATTATATTAAGAAATCATTGAGCACCACCAGATGTCAGCATTGCAGAATGGTTATTTCTACCCAGTGCAGAAGAGGTCTTTGCATCCTAGGAATACTATATATTAGATTTTTTTTTTTTTCTATGATAGCATAATCTATCATATATTTTCCAGTCATTAATATTAGGATAGAGTGTAAGACCAAAATTGTCTGCAAAGGGGAATTTCTTAATGGTTATTTTTTGTCTTATATCTTCAAATTTTTTTAAAATGCTTTCATGAGGGCAGCATCAACAACTGTACTAATGGTATATAATGCCTCATAGCAGTCACAGTGTTGTTTCAGGCTGCAGGCAGCCCAGCTAGAGAGTGCTCACTTAAATTCAGCCTCTACATTGGAATGTCAGGGGCTGTTCAGAGCTCTCTGTTGCTGTGTGCTAGGCTTTATTTAAACCCTCATGCTGGCTGCAAAAGGGTCTGCTGGCTTCAGTTCTGTGGAGGAAATGCAGAGAAGTAAGTGTGAAACTATTTTGGGCTTCCATGTAGGGGAAAAAAAAAAAGGACAGCTGGTGAAGCAAATTCTTTTGAAGGTGTCCAGCAACATAAGCCAAATCACCACTGAAAGGGTGAAAGCCTTCCCTCCGTTTCCTGTTGCAAGAATACAAGATCCGAACAGATTTTTTGTTTCTTTGAAACTAAGCAACCAGCCTCATTTATATTGTACATTAAGACACATCTCATGTTTTGTTGGGATGTTATAGAGTTTTCACTGGTGCCAGACGGTCCTGAGAAACATTTCCTGCTGCAAACAACAGCTTTCTCACTCTCCTGCTGGCACAGCTGTCACCAGCCCCTTGGCAAAGCACCAGCAGCCCGGGACAGGCTTCACAAACAGCAAGTTACTGGATCCTGCTTAGTGGAGGTCAGTTCGCCCGTCAGTCGGAAGGGACTGTGTCAATCTGGAGTAGCCACAAAGCCATTTTGCTGCATTCCTCCACCTGTTTCTGTGAGCTGCTGCCCATGAAGCTCTTGAAGAAGGCAACAGGAAGGCACCAACTTTTAAGCATTGGAGATTTTGCCTGTGAGATGAGTTTTGGCCACTGTTTAGAGGTGATCTGTTTTATTGTCAGGTTTATCTCTATTGCTTTTGTGGACCAGAATGAAGAAAAAAGTGTCCAGTAGGGGATCTTTTAGTCCCATGAAAGGAAACTGAGGAGTGCCACGCTGACAGCCACAGAAATGTGACAGACAAACATGTTCAGAGTAACTCAGTGTATTGCCCGTGCTGAAACTCAGATCATGGTGTCAGTGTTGATGTGCACAGGAGATGTGACACTGTTTACCCTTCTGTAGAGAATATCCTCTGGCAATGGGGCTCACCTCTCTTGCTGTAAAAGCTTTCTCATCTCTGCCATGACTGTGTTTTAAAGTAGCTGTAACTTTCTAA